CAGCAGCGTTCACAGCAGCAGCAGGATTAATAGTAGCAGCAGCATTAATAGTAGCAGTAGCAGCATTAATATTAGAAGCAGCATTATTCATAGTAGCAGCAGCAGAAATGATATAATCTTCAGCAATACAATAATCATCGGCAGTAACAGAATCGGCATCATCATCAGCACCAGAGTTTACTACGTGAATGCTATGGGGTTATGTCGCGCAAGTAAAATGGGCGTCGTTGCAAAAATTCCCACAATTCCCTGATCCTGCTGGTTGCAACTATCAACAAAACGTCACTTACCCGATTGCTAAATGGGTTTCGGATCACCAGCGGTGCAGCTGCTGCTGCTGAATCAGTCATACATTCCCAGCGTTCATCACGTGACAACTTTATTAATCGGCTGCGTCGGGTGGAGGAGGGTTTACGACACGCAATTTACTCACGCGAGCTGATCCAACAAACCATATATGAATCATCGTTTTGCCTTATCAGAATCTGGAAGAATCCGGAGAGCTTTGAAGCGCTCGAGATGCAATGTCAAGCTTGCTGCAACGGCTCGCAATGGTAACGATTCTCGTGTTGTCGCCACGTGCTTAGCGAAGCTAAGGGCAACAGGTACTGAGTGGATTATAAGATCTGCTGCTTACCTACAAGGCTCTCAATGGGTTGGCCTCAAAATATTTACAGGAACTGATCCGTGTTTATACTCCAACGATGTCCCTGAAATATTCGGATCGCCTTCTTCTCAGGACTCCGAGGTCAAGGCTCTCCGTTCCTGGTGTGATCGAGATTTTGCCTGGCACTGTGCAGTTTTCAGACTATGGAACAAGGCTTTGTTCCTTTGGTAATGAACCAATCTGAGTCCATGGAGCTATTTCAGTATTTCTTGAAATCTCACTCCTGTAAATGGTTCTCTATTCCCACCTCGTTCTGGCCGTTTACCCTGCAGGTACTGTTTTTGTCTTGCTTTCACATACATGGACGTATTACGATCTTTGCAAATGTAAATGCTAATTTTTGTTATTGCTACGTTGTCGGGCCAGCATGTAAGAGGCCAAAACACGCTCCAGAGGGCTTCTTTGGAACTTCCTCTAGCGGGGATCCTTCTGCCAGCAGAGGCGTGAACAAGCAATTGCAGGGCTGCGCCTTTAACTTGTATCGCGAAATCCGTGACATAAAAAAACGTCTCTCGGCTTCTGGATTCGGGAGAAGCAGACCCCCTTTTCTGGGGGGGGAGGGGCGCATGGAGTGGAGATCCCCCCTCCCCCGTCTCAGTGAAGGTCTCTGTGAGTAGAGGGGCGCGAGAGAAGGATGCAAATGCGAAATTCCTGCTGTGCAGAGTCTCACAGCACGCGCGAGTGAGCCGGAGGAATGAGCTCACTGTGCTAAACTGGGGGCGGGGGGGGGATACAAGAACTGATGCTTCAAGGTCAAGGTCAAAAGGTCATCACACCTCGCCACCGCTTCCTTCCTCCTGCTCGCTTCTGCGGCGGTTACAAAGTCGACAGCCGACCGCGATGTTCGGCGCCCCGATGCTCGCAATCATTGTCGCTGCCGAAAACCCGGCTGGCTTTTAAGTCTTCATCTTGTTACTGACTGACGCCTCCTTCAAGGACGGCGCTGACGATCTCATCGTCACCTCCACCACCACCACCGTCTGGGATTACCTCGTTCCTTTATCGTACTGCTCACGTATCGCTGTGTGAGTCTGGGTGCAGTGCTTGGCAGGTGTTATAGGCTGCGGTGCCACGCGTTTCGCTCGACGTGCAGGGGAGCTTCTCCGGAAACTGAATTCGCTCATTGAGGAAGATACATTCGGTCACTTGAAGAGGCTCCCAGCACGTGGGGCGAAACGTTGGACAGCATGTCCCAACGCCACGCGTCCACAACCCGGCACAGCGTAGACAAACTATAATCGTAGAAATTGTCACCTATGAAGGCCAACACGGCACACGAGGGGGTAGGTGGCTGTCACCACGCCAGGCCCCCTTTCTTTCACCAGATACACATTTAAGGCTGAGCCGACCAAGGGGAGGGTCCAGGACTCCTTCAAATATGTATCACCGACAATGACCGTGAGTTGGAATCGATCTCGGGACGCCAGGTTCGTAGCGCAGTGCGTAAACCAACTACGTTGCCCAAGTCCACAGACACTCCAAGGCAAAGATCCCTCCGTGCAGCCTTAACAGACTGTTGGGACAAGTGCTGTTAGCGAGCAGCACCTGTGAAGGCGAGCACGGCACCCCCCCCCCACTGAACGCAGAGCGAGCTGCTCACTCCGTGCGCCATTCATTGCCTTTGCCACAGCGGGCGAGTGGACAAAAGCAGAGCGGTAGGAGCTTGACACCAGCTCGCCTCCCTGCTGCTATTGGCCGCCGCTTGTTTTGCAATGGGGGCACTTGCCCGCTTTGGCCACGCAATGCATCTTAGGCGCGGGACGCCTCGTCTGCACGCAGCGCAAACTCCCACGCGGTCTGCACATATCGGAGGGGGGGGGGGGGGGTCGAGTGATGTAACGGAATGCGCGGCGCGCAATGCGATGGCGACTACAATGGAGAGCGGCCCAGGCCGCCGTGGCCACGTTGCGCAGAGTGTGCTCGGCAGACGTGGGATCTCGGGAGCTCAGTCGGGCTTGAGTCTCTGGGCAGTCATCTTCTTGTTTCTTTCGGTAAAGTCACGTAGAAGGGAAGTAATAAAATAATAAAAATAAAACATAATAAAATAATTCTCACGACGTTTCGGCCACAACGCAAGCAGCCGCCCTCAGGTGAAGACTAGGTCTGTCGGGGAGACAGCGTCTGAATGAAACACCACCACGCTTGGAGCGTATATTTAAGCTGGGTTGAAAGGGGGGAACGGCCCACAGCTGCTAGCGGCAGCTGATGCTATGCTTTGGCTGCTGTCGGGCGACTGTGTTGGGGCAGTGCAGCTGACTCTTGATTTGTTTTTTTGCAACGATCCATCGGGATCTTGTGTGCGCAAGCAGTCGATTTCGTGGCTCCGTCTCCGTTTGTGGACGTCCGCTCTCGGGCGTGCGTTTCCGCTCCTTCTTCGGCTGCCACCACACTCCGTCGTCAAGTCTCGACCACCGGCCAAGGCGCCGCTTGAGTTAGTCCGAAGACTTGTCCCGTGTCTCCCAACTCCACGTTGTCTCTGCCGCTACTGTCGCTCCGGGTCAACGTGTTGTCCTTTCTCCCGCGCCTCCGATTCATAATCGGAATCAGAATGTGTATTTGTGACTGGAGGACGAATCCGATGAGCTGTAAAGCTCTTTTGCACAGATATCCAGTCGGGGCACGGGATCAGAACGTGACAACAGATGCTCTAAACGCACGTTTCTAAACGTGGAGGGAAAATCCGGAGGACCTGGAGAAAAATCCACGCGACCACGAGGAGAACATGCAAACATCAAATACACAGCAGCAGGCATCGTCACGGTCGGGATCGAACCCAAGACCTCCTGTATACCAGGCGAGGTAGTTAACATCTCGCCACCGCAGCAGCAACAGCAGCAGCAGACGCACGACTGAAGTTCCCTCTGCGTGCTGGGGGAGAGAGGAGGAGGAGGAGCAGCAGCCTGGCTTGTTGATGCCCATGTCGAGAGCGGACCTCAAAGGTCCTGGTGAAGGACTCTGGAGAGCCCCTCGGAGTGGGGGTGGAGAGGGTGGAGAGGGGGGTGTGGAGAGGGGGGGAGTCACTCCTGAAGGCCCCCTGAGCAAGCGGCGCCTAACGAAGCGTTCAGTCGTGAACGCAGCACGAGTGCACGATCATTAAGCCTCTCAGAAATAATAATAATTAATTAATAATCCGTGTAGCTTGTTACACTGAAAAAATAAGGAACCGTGTGGATCGTTGGAGTGGTTTACCGATTCGGTGTTCTGCTGTTTGGTTCGGGATGGAACGTGGGGGGCTGGTGGGGGGAGGGGGGCACAGTGGAGTCGTGCAGCTGATGGTTTGGAGGCAATCATCATCAACTTTGTGATCGTTATCGTAATGCATTCGTGTCGTCATCGTTATCTTCGTTATCAACATCGCCACCATTGTCGCGATCATTATTACATAATTCTTAGTGTTACTTTTCCAACATCGTCGTCATCGTCACCATCAACATTAACGTCATCGTAATTACGATCTCAGTAATCATACAAGTAATTCATCATTACGTTTTTTGTGTTAGATCGCGTAAATGTGTCGTAAACCCACCTCCACCCAACACAGCATACTACTGACGTTTGCCACGTGAACAAAATGCGCCAATTATTTTCAGGACTACTTCAGCACATCGATATTTTCTGGCTTCAACAAATGCTGATGTAAACTATTGGCCTGTAAAGCCGATAGATCGATGGACTAATACAGTATTTTACATGTTCGGTCACAGACTGGAGTTATTCATGTGTCGATCATATCAATTCGCATCAATTAGCAATGTTAATTATTCTACACCGCTTGCTTACCCAGAACATCATCTCGGAGTCTCAAGACCTTGTTTGCAGGAGGGCCTTGCCAGGTTTTCGCTGTCAGGGGTCGATGGTGGCCGCGTGTAATCCCAGCTGAGTCATTTGCTGGGAATCTTTCAGCATTCCTTTGCCATTTCCAACACCAGTTCCATTGCACAATTTGTATTTATGTAGACATATGTGTCGGTATGGAGGGAAACCAGAGAACCTGGAGAAACCCCCATTGGGAACAGGGGGAGAACACACAAACTCCTACACAGAGGGAGGCGCCCGAGTCGTGAATCGAACCCAGCAGCAGCAGCAAGAGTCGTCTTGCTGCCAGGCCACGTGCGGCGCTGCGGTGGCCCACAGCCTCCGCACGCCACAGCCACGTGGGCGATTTCGCTTCATTGATCGCTCTTCCACCCCCCTCCCCTCTTTTCCCACCGCCCTCCGCTCCCCCCATTCAGAGGGCGCACTTCTACGAGGTGTGGCCCACGCTATTCAGAGGTCGATAAATCACGAAGCCATCTCAATGATCCCCGAGAGAGCAGCTGGTGGGTGTGGTGCGAAATGTGAAAGGCCCTCACAGCACCCTCTCACATCGCCACCACCTCCTCCTCCTCCCACCACCACCACCAACCTCTTTGTTGTATATAAAACATGTTTCTGGCCATGTAGTTTCATTTAATCGGGGAGTGAGCTGCTCGGATATAAGACGCCACGTAGCTACCACCACCACCACCATCAACGTGATCACCTTGACTCACCATCACCACCGTCACCACCGTCACCACCATCACCACCGTCACCACCGTCGTACCGCGTGAGCGTCAAGGCCACTACCGAGTCCAACATCGAGACCACAACCGTGACCGATCACCACCACCACCACCACACCACCACACCGCTACAACCTCCACCACAACAACACAACCACCGCCACTTCCATCGCACGACCACAACCAACACCAACACCACCACCACCACAACGTCCACCCATCACATCCGCTTCGTATCAACCCATCGGTGACAGAGAGTGACGCGGCGACGTTGACCGATGACAGTTTGACCACGTGGGGGCGACGATGATTATGACGACGACGACGACGATGACGACCACGACGACCGACGCCAAGTGACATTAGCGAGGAGGCGAGCGGCCGCCTAGGGATGCGTGCGGCATGCGGCGATGGCCCAGGAGGAGGAGGAAGATGGGAGACGCGGGGCCCGTGAAGGAGGAACTCCCGAGCCCCCCATCCTCGCACGGACCCTTCTGGCCCCGGGACTGCGTGGGCCCGAGCAGCGGCACCCCGTGCCACGACGCGGCCACGGCCCAGGAGCGCGACGCGTGGCCCGCCTCCGGTGTGGCACGTTTTATTCGTTCGTTACGTCGTTCACTCACCCGTTGAATCGTTCGTTTGTTCGTTCATTCGTTTGTTAATTAGGACGGTGACGTGGCCGAGCGTCCGTGTGTTTTTTGCCGCATGATGCAGAGGTTCGCCGTTGGGGTACACTTTGTAAAAGGCATGCGTCTTGTCTCCTCATTCATTGGGTAACCTTTGTAAAATGCCATCTGGTGCGTGCGTGGTTCGTGTCTCTTCATTAATTGGGACACCCTTTGTGAAAAGGGAACCACTTTGTGAAAAGGGAACCACTTTGGAAGAGAAGAGAGCCACGTCTAAGCGCAAAGAGCAGGGCACACGGGACAGCAGAGGGATCTGTGTCGCTGTGGGGATCAGAGATCTCAACCCTAAGCATCTCGGAAATAAATTCGCAGGCATTTGTGCCCAGGTGTCTGAGACGCACGCTGTGAATGTCGTGGCAAGACAGGAGAAGCAATGCACAGGTCCGGAAGAGAACGTGGCCATCGAGTGTTGTAGCTCTGATTGGGCAGAAACGGTTGCGCTGTGAGGGAGACGTGGGTGCAGATTTGGGGTTGAGGGCCGGTGACCGAGACCCGGCATTGGAGCGGTCTCAACGAGTCCGGCGACCAAGGGGAGGAGAGAAGACCTCGGGGCAGATGGTGGGAGACGGTCAGGACAGGTCTTGGAGGTCGCCGCGTACGGGAACTGGTGGAGGGGAGGAAGCGTTCGTAGCCATGAGGTTGGAGGTCGCGGTGGTCGTGGCGGCATTTTAACCACGGTGGCTAGGAGATGTTAACTACCTCGCCTGGTATACAGGAGGTCGTGGGTTCTATCCCGACCCTGACGGCTGCTGCTGTAGATTTGGAGTTTGCGTGTCTCTCCCCGCCCGTGGTCGCGTCGATTTGTCTGCGGTTCCTCCGGCGTTTCACTCACATTTAGAATCAACATCACGCGTTTCGAGTGTCTGGCTTGCTATACATAGCCACACGATGACGATTACACTGGTCAACAAAAAAAATCATTTTTTCTGGCCTGGACTTTTGCAGCTGTTCTAGACTAATTTCAGGGTGCTGATTCCAAATCTGATCTCAGATTTGCTCTATCACATCTCATTCTTATGCTATCGGCATACCCCATTTTCATTGATTTTACCCGAAATTAACTACGTCACTTATGATTGCAAGTTGCTGCGAGTCAGTGACTGCTTTAGTGTTAAAATATGGTGCTGTATTTTTAGGATAGTGTGTTTATAATATCATTTTATGTAGATATCCACATTTATTTAATATTTTTCTTCTGCAGTTATTTTTATTGAAAATGGAATATTTGATATCTCAAAAACCTGATGTGATCGACAAAAACTGATGCCAGATTTGGAATCAGCACCCCAAAATTACCTTAAACCCGTTGGAATACCTAATGCCAAAAAAAGTGTGTTGACCAGTGTTATAAGCCCACTTCGTTGAGCTATCATTTGTGATAGTCAGCTCGCTTCTCAAAAATAATCTATACAGCTCGGTGGGCCTTACCTGGTAAAATAAAAACAAATCGTTTAAAATAGTTAATTTTTGTGCCCAGGTGAGCGCCTACCCGAGGCCACGTGGCCGGGATGTGGGCGGCACGGGGCCACGGGGGGTGGCGGTCGAGCGTCCTCAGCGACCGCGTGGCGAGGCCGCCAGGTCGTGTTCGACCCCGACCGATGGGGGACGCGGCCTCTGGTCCCGCTCACCTCGTCCACGTCGTCCACCGTCGCCACGTCGCCCACCGCTTCGCTCGCCGCGTCGCGCGCAGGGCTCTGCGCGCCCGCGCTGGTCTTCGAGTCGCGGTTCGAGTCCGGGAACCTAAGACAAGCACGGCGAGTGTAAGCGAGAACCTGTGTGTGTGTACCTGTGTGTGTACCTGTGTGTGTATGTACCTGTGTGTGTGTATCTGTGTGTGTGTACCTGTGTGTGTGTGTGTGTACCTGTGTGTGTGTGTACCTGTGTGTGTACCTGTGTGTGTACCTGTGTGTGTGTACCTGTGTGTGTACCTGTGTGTATACCTGTGTGTGTGTATACCTGCGTGTGTGTACCTGTATGTGTGTGTATCTGTGTGTGTGTGTACCTGTGTGTGTGTACCTGTGTGTGTGTGTACCTGTGTGTGTGTACCTGTGTGTGTACCTGTGTGTGTGTACCTGTGTGTGTACCTGTGTGTGTGTGTACCTGTGTGTGTGTACCTGTGTGTGTGTGTACCTGTGTGTGTGTGGCGATGGTGAGCGGGCCCGGGTAAAACTACGTGGCCGGGAGTCGGAGCCTTTCCCTGTACACCTTGGGGTGCGACAGGGATGTCCTCTGGCTCCCACATTATTTAACATCTATTTTGACCGCGTAGTTCGTGAAGCCTTCAATAGCTGTACCGGGGGAATTTCCGTTTGGTACAGATATAATGGGAGGCTGATCGACGCCCGGGTGCGATCAAGGGATGGCTCCCTATTGGTCAACCACGTTATGTATGCCGATGATTTGGTAATAGCTGCTCATTCAGAAGAGGAGTTGGAGGCGCTGCTGCTGGGACTGGAGCGTGCCACTAAGAGGTGGGGCCTTACCATCAGCCCCACCAAAACCAAGCACCTGCCTGGGTATTTTGTACCATCGGACACTCCACCCCCACAACTCCCAATTGGTGATGGGGCAGTTGTGGAGAGAGTGGAGAGTTTCCCATACCTGGGCAGTGTGCTTATGACCGGCTCCAGTCTATCAGCAGAGGTCTCACTCCGAATCAGTCGAGCGGCAATATCTTTTCATCGGTTGCGTAACGCTGTGTGGAAGCTACCTGGTCTGTCGCTCCGCACGAAGCTTCAGGTCTTCTCGGCCACGGTCATTCCCTCCCTTCTCTACGCTTGCGAGACGTGGACCCCCCTGGTGGAGCATCTTCGCCGGTTGGAAACATTTAGGCTGGCCTGCCTACGATCCATCCTGGGTTTAACCAGGCTGGATTGTGTGAGGAGCTCACAAATCCTTGAAAGATCTGGGCAAAGTCCCATCAGTGAGCTCCTCCGGCAGGCAAGGCTGCGTTGGCTGGGTCATGTAGCCCGCATGCCCAGCCACCGCATGCCTAAACAGCTTTGTTCGGCCGGATCGAGGGGGCTAGACGGGCGCGGCACGGGCTGGAGAAGAGATGGAGTGATGTGGTACAGGAGGACGTGGAGCTGAGTGGACTTGCCGATGACTGGTACCAGCGGTGTCAAGATCGGCCTCAGTGGAGGAGGCTCGTGAAGGACGCTACTGGGCAGTTGGAGGCAGTCGCCCTCCAACAACAACGGAGGGCGGAGGAGCGACGCTCACAACAACGAGCGGAGCGCCGGGTGGCTAAAGCACAGCAAGTTGGCACAGTAGGGGGCACAGGTGGTGCATCAGCCAGTCATCTCGGTCATCTCGGTCAGTCGACCAGTGGCACCTGGGTCTGCCCCGTGACCTCCTGCCAGCGGGCTTTCGACACTTCACGTGGCCTCAAGGTGCACTTGGCCTGGCACAAGCATCGTGGTGACGTCACCGCCACTTAGTGGCGAATGGCGGTTGTTGTTGTTGTGTGGCGAACGGTAGTGTAGCGGTTAGCGCGCTGCACTAAGATCTCGATTCCCGCTCACGGCCAACACCAGTGACGATTATCTGAACCGGTCCTGGGCCTCCCCTAGGTCGACTCAGCCTCAAATAAGTACCTGGTTCAATGTGTACATATCGCCACCCGGGAGACAAAGACGGCCGGGCGTGGTGTTGCCCCCCCCCCCCACCCTCGTGCCGTCTCTACCTTCACAGGTGCTACCCGCTAACGACACTTGCCCCAACGGTCTGCGGAGGCCACATGGCAGTGTGGTGACCTTTGTCTTTGCCAGGGGCGAGTTCGAGTACGAGTTGGTGCTGCGCAGCGACCTGCACACGGAGCGACACACGCAGTGGTTCTACTTCCGCGTGCAGAGAGCGGTCCCCGGCCCCTCGTACCGGTTCGTCATCACCAACCTCCTCAAGCGGGACAGCCTCTACGGCCACGGTGCGGTGCCGGCGGGGGTGGGGGTCTCTGTGCGAGGTGGGGAGGTGGGGTCAGTGTGGGCCATAGTGGAGGGGGGGGGGGTGCGGGGCTTGGGTAAAATCCCACGACGCCTTCAAACTAAATCGGAGGTGTTGCATCTGACACTGTGACGTCGATACGCAGCGCTCCCCCCCTCCACCCCAAGCGCGGGGCCCGGGGCAGTCGCCCAGTGCCCTGGTTAGGAAGCTTTGAGTTGGGGGTTGTGGATGGCTGGGTTTACTGGGCTGCCTCCGTCCGCTCGGCTACAGCTCCTCCACACGGCTACACGATACGAGAGAGCTGCAGCCGTGGGGGGCGGTTGAGATAATTCGGTGGTTGTGAGTGCTTGTAAGTTAATCGCACGGGTGGCTGAGACAGGTTAGTGACGTCAGATGATCGCGGCGAAGCAGGCGGCGGCGTGTATCTGCCGTGGTCAATGCACACCGCGCTCTTAACCGGGGCGGTTCGCCGGATTCGAACCGCGAACCTCGGCAGGCATGCGCCCGCTGGTGTACTCGGAGGTGGCGGCGAGGTCAGGGGCTCCGGGCTGGTGCCGGACGGGACACCACATCCGGTACGGACCCTGGAGCAACCCCAGCCGCAACCCCCTGCTCCCCGCCGGGGTGCAGTTCTACTGCCTCGACTTCCTCATGGTGAGCGGAGCGCCCACCTGCTGCCTCACCGCACCCGACACTGGAATTGAGAGGAAAGGGGCCGTACATAAATGACGTCACGCACGTGACATCAAACGATCAACTGATTGATTGGTCTGTCGATCGACCGGTCGACCGATCGATTGCCCTAGCGATCGACCGGTCAACTGATAATTTGATTTATCGATCGACAGGTCGATTTATCGATTGGTCAGTTGATCGACCGGTCAACTGATCGATTGGCCTATTGGTTGTCTCTGTGTGCACGTGCGTGTGTGTGTGTGTGTCTCCCGTGGCCGGTGGCGCGCGAGCGGCAGGAGTTTGCGCACGCGGGCGACACATGCTACCTGGCGCACTGCTACCCCTACTCCTTCTCCGAGCTGCAGGCGCACGTGCGGGCGCTGCTGGCGCACCCCCGACGCGCCGCGCGCCTCCGCCGCGACTCGCTGTGCGCCACGCGCGCCGGCAACAGCTGCTTCCTGCTCACCGTCACCGACTTCCCGCCCGGTACAGCGCGCGGTACAGCCAGGCACAGCCAGGCACAGCCCGGCACAGCCAGGCACGGCCAGGCACGGCCAGGCACGGCCAGGTACAGCCAGGCAAAGCCAGGCACGGCCAGGCACAGCCAGGCACGGCCAGGCACAGCCAGGCACAGCCAGGCACGGCCAGGCACAGCCAGGCGGCCAGGTCGGCAGCACCTCGTCGACTTTGCTCGATGCGTTCATCGTTGTGAATATTTGCGGGGTTTATCGATGGGTTGAACGATACGTACGTGCGTCACTCGAGTGATTGCTCGATTGATTGCTCGATTGATTTATGGGTCGATTTATTGACCAGATGATTTAAATATCACCCAAATTATTGATTTATTAACTGATCCCTCAACTGATTAGTCTGTTGATATATCAATAAACTGATTGGTTTATTGATAGATCAATCGACTGCTTGGTCTATTGATTGATCGGTCGATTTGTTGATTGATCGGCCGATTTATTGATTATTGATCATGTTTTGAATGATCGATTGATCGCTTATTCATTCATCAACATATCGATTCAACAGTGCAATCCCAGGCACGCGTGTCCCCGCGCTTCTTTGAGCTGTCGTCGCAGTTTCCAAGCTTTCTGCCACCAGCCGCCGTCCGTCATCATCCCCCCCTCCTCCGCCCCCCCTCCGTAGACTCGTCTCAGGATGACCGCACGGAGGAGCACGCCGGGAAGCTGGGGGTGGTGATCACGGCGAGAGTGCACCCCGGGGAGAGCCAGGCGAGTTGGATCATGAAGGGAGTCCTCGACTTCCTCACCTCCGACGAGCCCAGCGCCCAGGTCGGCTCCGCGCTCGGGTTGTTAACCGGTGACCCGGTAACCGTCTTTGAAAATCGCTTACCGGTTAGTGGGGAGAAGTGTGAGTACCTTGACTCCACCAACACGTGACCTGCCGATGGACTCACCTGTGGTCCAGCCCATTTGGCACCGCCACTGCCGCCGCTGCCGCTGCTGCCGCTGCTGCTGCTGGGAGGATTTAAGAAACTCGCGGCCGTTGTTTCGTTTTCCGCGCCGGGCGATGGGATTCAAGCAATACGTTGGCCACTCTTACCGAGTAAAAACCTTCGATGGTGCCGTTTGTTGCTGTCCGCTCGGTGTTTCGGACCTGCGCCGTATTTATATTTTTCGTGACGCCGAGCAGCGTCGCTTTGGTGAGTAAATGAGAAGCGGTGAAAAGTGGCCGGTGAACGTGAGAAGGAAGGAAATGAGCTGAACATAAAACATGATAATTTTTACAACGAACAAAACAATAACGACCGATAACCCCGTGACCTTAATAGAAAACATGACGTAATACGTGAAGTTTCGGGCAATGGTCCTACGTCTTAGCGCATCATTAATGTATATACACGTGATCGTAATGCTCTGGAGTTGCGCTCTAATTGTTAACTGTGCACCACCACTGCCAACGCTACAGCAGCAGCATCACTAAAAAAAAAAAAATCTGTATTTGTTTTTGCTCCGCGAGGTTGGCCACGATACGCCAGTGCAGCAGGTGGCTTCCCCGGCCTTCCCCGTGTGAAGTCCTTCGCTGTGCTCTTTGCGTCCCGCCGATCGGTTCATTTTTGTTGTAATCCCCCGCAGGAGCTTCGGCGCAAGGTGGTGTTCAAGATCGTGCCCATGCTGAACCCCGACGGCGTTATCGTGGGGAACTACCGGTGTGTAGGAGGGCGTGGGTTTGATCTCGATCCTGACGCCTGTTGTATGTTTGGAGTTTGCGCTGTCTCTCTCTCCGTGGTCGCGTGGATTTCTTTCCGGGTCCTCCGGTTTTCCCCCTCCACATTTAGAATCAACATTACGCGTTTAGGGTATTTGGCTGCTATACATTTCCACAAGATAAGCCACTTCGTTGGGCTATCGTTTGTGGCCAGGTCACTTCTGCAGAAGAGCTACGTAGCTGAGTGGGGCTTACCTGGTAAAATAAAACATTGTTCAATAGTTTTAGTTCATAGTTTAGTGTGATGCGCGCGACCCCCGCGACCCCCGCGTCACACACTCACCACTCACCCGACAGCTCTCGCCTAAACTCTCGCCACTCTCCTCCTATCAACTCGCCTCATCGATTGCTCATTAATGTATTATTGAAAAACGAGCAATACCCGCCGAAAATCAGCAAACAAAAAAATGTTATACCTTTTCCACGGCTATTCTTGCAGAGGGCGGGCATGACCTGACCTGGGGAATGGGCCAAACAAAAAATCTCCCAGTTTCTCTCCCTGGACTTCACCTCGCTGTGTTGGCGGCGGCGACGGTGTCGTCGTTGTTGCAGGTGTTCGCTGTCGGCCCGCGACCTCAACCGCAACTACCGGCACCCGGACAAGGACGAGTTCCCCACGGTGTGGCACACCAAGCAGATGGTGGAGCAATTCCAGAAGGACCGGCCGGTCAGCGCGCAGCAGCAGCAGACACACACGCACGCACGCACGCAAAGAAACGATAATAATGATTGTATCAACTTTTATCACTGCGCCACCACACAGCGTTCGCTCGCTCTCGTAGCGAGAGGATGACTCAGAGGCGCGAGGAGCAGCCACAGACGAGTGGGAAGGTGGCAGCAGGAGCCACGCAGTGAGCCGCTGTCAAGTGCCACGCTCTGCGGTCCTCGATATATTAAGATGTTATTGGACAGTTATTAATGAGCTTTTACTGGAGTACATTGAGGAAACTCACGCGTGCCCAGTCCCCTTTCAGAAACGCCGGAGGTCATGGCCGTGTAGCCAGGATCCGTGTAGCTCTGTCCACGATATTTAACTCGAGACCTGTCCAACAGACACTGCTCCCAGTTGCATCCGATTGTTCCAATTGTTTGTGCAATAAAAAAATTAGCTGTTGAACAAACAAACATCTCAAGAGGTGGATGCAGCAGTCGTATTTATGCACGTTGAACTTCTTTCGCACCGTACGTAGCCAACCGTGCTAATCGAAGATGCGGGGGTAAGGGACAACAAACTAAACAAAAACTGATTTTGTCAATCTCGATGATTTAAAAGTGCATCGCTCCCAGTAGCTTCCTAATATCGGAAGGAAGAGCGTTCCAGACGGCCGCAGCAGTCGCGTTGACGGTCACCGCTGGTCGTCACGCCGCCGCCGGTGTGGTACCTCGTGGTGCAGGTGATCCTCTACTGCGACCTGCACGGCCACAGCCGCAAGCACAACGTGTTCATGTACGGCTGCAGCTCGCGGCCGCCACGCGGCGCCGGCGACGCCAGCGCGGCGCTCTTCCTCCGCGAGCGACTCTTCCCCTGGCTCATGGCGCGCAGGGTGAGTGAGTCCGTTCGTCTGTCCGTGTGAATCCGTCCGTGTGAATGAGTCGGTATGAGTGAGTCCGTGTGAATGAGTCGGTATGAGTGAGTCCGTCCGTGTGAGTTCATCCGTGTGTGTGAGTTCGTCCGCATGAGTCCATCCGTGTGAGTGAGTCCGTCCTTCCGTGTGAGTCTGTCCGTGTGAGTCTGTCCGTGTGAGTGAGTCCGTCCGTCCATCCGTGCGAGTCAGTCCGTCCGTGTGAGTCCGTCCGTCCGTGTGAGTCTGTCCGTGTGAGTCCGTCCGTCCGTGTGAGTCTGTCCGTGTGAGTCCGTCCGTCCGTGTGAGTCTGTCCGTGTGAGTGAGTTCTTCCGTCTGAATGAACCCGTCCGTCCGTGTGAGTCCATCCGTGTGAGTGAGTCCATCCGTCCGTGTGAGTCCATCCTTATGAGTCCGTGTGAGTAAGTCCGTCCGTCTATCCGTGCGAATCAGTCCGTCCGTCCATGCGAGGCCGTTCGACTCGGATACATCAACTCGAATCTTGGAACTGACACCAGAGCAACACGAGCCGATGTTATCGCTCCGTCTCTGCAGCGGGCGTGAGCCTCCCGGCCGCGTCGCGTGCGCACGGCGTGCGCACGGTGGCCTTCTGTCGCACCGCCCACGGCACTTTCCCCAACGGGCCCGGTTGAGAGGCCGCGCCGGGCCACCTTTGCCTGTCTCTGCCGGACGCAGGCTCCGGGTCGCTTCGACTGGCGCAGCTGCAAGTTTCGCATCCGGCAGGGGAAGGAGTCGACGGGACGCGCCGTGATGTTCCGCGCCATGGGCATCGCCAACGCCTTCACCCTCGAGGCGTCGTTCGCCGGCTCGCGGGGACTGAGCGCGTACGGCCGGGGGATGGGGGGGGGGGGTGGGGTGAGGTGGGGGATGGGGTCGGGGGGTGGAGTGGGGGGCAAGAGGGAGGTGGGGTGGAGTGGGGGTTGGAAGGTGAGGTGGGGTGGGTGAGGTGGTTGGGGTGGGGGGTGGAGTGGGGGGCAAGAGGAGGGGGGTGGGGTGGGGGGAGTGAGGGGCAGGGGGCCAGACCCAGGCTCAGATTTCACTCAGCACTCATTTTATCCACACGTGGAGGTGTGCAACATTGCACGTGGCGGAAGCTGTCAGTCATCCTTGTGGAGACCACCACTTCCACAGAACTGTGCCTGTGTGCGTGTGCTTTGCTACAAGCCCAGCGAACTGAGTTCCATTTTGTCCACCAACACCAGTGATGATTCTCTCAAGCAGTCCTGGGCCTCCCCTAGGTCGACTCAGCATCATGCGAGTACCTGGTGCAGTGTGCAAACATCAGCATTGGGGAGACAAAGGCAGCCGGGGGTCGTTTCTAGCCACACCGCTCCATCGTGTGCCGTTCCGACCTTCATAGGTGCTCGCTAACAGCACTTTCCCCAACAGTTTGTTGAGGCTATACACGGAATCTTGTCTTTAGAAAAATATATATTTAAATATCCTTTGAGACCGTGAGGTGGAACGAACGGAGGTGGTGCCAGGAAGCGGGGTGCCCAACCACGCCGCGCGGGATCCCCCCGACGCCTTCGAACCAAACGGGGGAAGTTCTACGTCTGACAGCGTGACGTGGAACCGCTGGTGCCCCCCAAAGCGCGGGGCCCGATCCGGCCGTACCCCTCGGGGACGCCGCTGTGGCAGATGTTGCAATGCTGCGAGTGAGCCGTGTCGGTGGGGGGGGGGGTCTCGCGTGGCCCCAAACCCCAAGGCGCCGCTCTCCTCCCCGTGTCCCCCCCCCTCCCAGCAGAAGCAGCGCCAGGGGCAGCAGCAGCTACGACGTGAGTGACTTCCTCTCGATGGGCCGCAGCCTCTGCGAGTGCGTGCTGGACTACGTGGGCACGCGCGAGGACCCGCGGTGAGCACGGGGGGGGGGGGGGGGGGAGGTGTGGGCAGAGCCTGCCATGCTTGTGGACCCCCCCCCCCCTCCCACCACCACCATCGCTTGTGACGACGCTGGCACTGCCCCACGCGGCTGCCCGGCCCGGGTTGCGACTGAACTGATCGTGCCCCCCCTCCACCATCCCCACCATCCCCCTACACCGAGAAAGAGATGAGCAGCTTCTTGCAGCGTTCCGAGTCACTTTGTCAGCACGTGAATGTCGCTCACGGGGCTTTGTGTCGTCCACAGTCAGCTGTGGAATTTCAGTCCGGAGGATTTAATTTCATCTTCTTTAGCCGGCGAGCACCCGCGCGGCGCCGCACGTACATACAAACCGAACGCGTTGACAACTTAAAAGCGCCGCACGTCCTCCTTCACATCCTCGCTCTTGCTCCTCCACCTCGCATCCTTCTCGCACGATCCCCTCCACCGCCTCCTCCTTCTCCTTCTCCTCCTCCTCCACCGCCTCCTCCTCCTCCTCCACCGCCTCCTCCTCCTCCTCCACCGCCTCCTCCTCCTCCACCGCCTCCTCCGCCTCCTCCTCCTCCTCCTACCGCCTCCTCCGCCAGGAAGCTCGCGGAGGCCACGGTGACCCTGACGGACGCGCTCGTGAGTCGGGCCACGGAGAGGGGCTGCTGCGGCCCCGAGGGCCCGGCCGCCCCGCGGCAGCGAGAGAGGACGCTCCGGGCGGCGGAGGAGGCGCGGGAACCACCGCCCGCCCAAGGTTAGTTTCTGCCCCTAAAGGGGGGGCCCAACGACCCAAGTCGATTCGGTTCTCCTCCGGCTGTCCGACCGCACGGATCGGCGATGGCTGCTGCTCGAGCGATGGAAGCGCCGTGGAGGAGTGTCAGGCCCTGGACTGGAATCGGAGCGCGAGGGAGGGCAAGCGCGCTGTTAGAGGCCGCGTTGAGAGTTGAGAAAAGTGCTTTGGGCTCGGTGTGCACGAGTCTGTGGGTCTCTTGTGTGACTATGGATCTCTGTGTGACTCTATGTGTGTCTATGCGACTCTATTGGACTTTGTGTGAGCCTATGGTCTTTATGTGACGATGGGTCTCTATGCGACTCGATGGGTCTTTATGTGACGATGGGTCTCTATGTGACTCGATGAATATCTAAGTGAGCCTGTGGGTCTCAAAGTGACTCTGTGGATCTCGGCGCTTGACCGAGCCTCAACTTGGTGTAACCACGGTCGGTCAGCTGAGCCCCCGGGTGTTTAACTCTCGGATCTCAGTGCTGCCCCCTCGGGGGGGTGGGGGGATGGGGGAGGGGGTCTCCGACCGTTGAGCCACTCGTCTTCCGCGCTCCGCTCAAATATCACCAGCGAGCGACTCGGAGCGGAGCGAGACGTCGGACACGGAGAGCGCGCGGAGAGAAGCTGACGGCATCGACGACGCCGGCAGCAACGATCGGACTCCCGCACGACCGCACGACCCCCGACGCGTGCAGGTGCCCCCCCCCCCACCCCCCTGGCACAAATACCGCCGGTGACCTCCGGTCAGCATCGCATCCACCGATCCGTAGGGGTTCCTGGAGTTTCCTGCCCCCTTGGAGGTTACCTGCCCCCTGTGTCTAGTTTGCTGTCCTTACACCGCACCTCCGATTAGCACGGTTGGCTACGTGCGGTGCGAAAGAAGTTCAACATACACGTGCATTCTTAGTCCCGGCTGAAGACCCCAGCACCGGGTTAACACGGCCTCCTAACTCTCTCTTTCTCTCTCTCTGATCACTTGTTTCTGGAGTCTCTCTCTCGCCGGTTCCTTCTCATCACTCATCCCTTCCACCTCTACAAGCACGGGCCTCTGATATTCATTGTTTAAGGGCGCCCTAAACATCTAATTATTGTTGTCACGCGGAGTAAACTCCAGCGTGGCAACGCAGTGGTAACACTCGCCGTGTATTTTGTACATTCTGTCTCTCTCCCTCTCTGTTCTGTTTCGATTTCCTCCGGGTACTCGAGTTTCCTCCCATAGCTAACACACACAAAATCACATGGTGTGATTGGTGTTGGCCCAAAAACATCCCAGTACTGAAAAATAACCTCCGAATGACTCCACTTTGGGACATCCCCGCTGCGTGGACGCCCTTGCAGGCCGACACGAAGCCGGCCGGCACGCCGGAGCCCCCGGCGGAGTCGCTGGGACGCCTGGACGAGCGGGACGACGCCGAGCGGACGGGGACGTGGGGCTCCGCGGGACGAGGCTCGGGTCCCGACGCCTCTGGCCCATCGTGGCCCGGAGGCCCCGACGAACTGCGGACGCTGGAGGAGTGCTACCGGCGCCTCGGCCGGCTGGAGCTCGCGCGGCTCGCGTCAGAGTCCGAGTGAGTCGCTGGGGGGGGGGGGGGGGGGGCAGGGCTCGGGCGGTCGTCATCAGTCGTGGACTATCCACTGGCGGCATAGGAGGCATGAAGCTGCGCTGCTTCATGGAGATGGAGCGACGAGAGGCATCTGCGAACTGCTCCCGACGCACGCACGGAATGAGTCGGTACATTATTGCGGGGTTGACTCAACTTCACGATCACTGCAGAGTTGAATCATAAAGTTAAGTACCGCTTTGTGGAAAACAAACATTGCGTGTTCTATGGATGAACGTGCCCCCGGCCATAGAAATGTGGAACTCTTACCACTTGCCTGGAATGTCTGGTCAGTTTGTTATGAAGTGGCTGCGTGTTGGAGGAAACCGCAGACAGCCGAAATATCCCACACCTACCCAGAGATAAAACACAAACCCTTGGTGTAGGCTCTTTAACAACCCACGTTCTGCACCGCCACCCTGTGGAAGTCTCACCGCTGGCTTGCGCGTGCAGGAGCAGCGAGGACAGCAACAGCGACCCCGAGCCGGAGGTCAAGCCGGAACCGCCACGGAGGAGACGGAATCGCAAAGGGCACCGGGGTCCTCGCGCTCCAGGGCGGCTGCCCCCACTGGGGGGCCGGGTCCCCAAAGGCCCCCCCCAGACGAGAGATGCACCCGCTGGCAGAGGAGAGGTGCGATGTTGACCCCCCCTCCCCACCACCATCACCCCGTCACTGAAAATCTCGAATTTCACAACGTTTTGTGCGGTGATCCACCAAACCCGCTTGGCTGCCGCCGCCACAGGAGCAGCTCCCAGGATCGGCTCGCCCGGTGATCGTCGGTGGCGGTGACGCCGGTGGCAGCGGTGCGATCTGCCGGCTGCCGTCGGGGTTGGCGCCGCGGTCGTACCCGGCGTTCGTGAACCGCTACCTGCACCGCACCAACCGCGGCATCCCCATGTACGCGCAGGAGCGCGTGGCCGAGAGGGCGGCGCGGGTGAGCTCACGGGTCGGCAGCGGGTCACCAGTGGGTCACGGGTCACCAGCGGGTCACGGGTCACCAGCGGGTCACCAGTGGGTCACGGGTCACTAGTGGGTCACGAGTCACGGGTCAACAGCGGGTCACCAGTGGGTCACGGGGTCACTAGCGGGTCACGGGTCAACAGTGGGTCACGGGTCACTAGCGGGTCACGGGTCAACAACTGATCACCAGTAAGGTCACGGGGTCACTGGCGGGTCATGAGTCACCAGCGGTTCACCAGCAGGTCACAGGTCACGAGGGGGTCACGGGTCACCAGAGGGTCACTAACGGGTCACGGAACAGCATTGGCAATGCGATGGAATTACTCGGAGCAGGAGTAAAACATCAACCTAAGCAACGTTGTGTATGTGTCGTGTATATTGTGTATGTATTTGTCGTGTATATTCGTGGAGCGTTTACACAATTGTACGTGCATGATTTTCTCTCGCGTGTCAATCGAACGCATCTAGGCTGGCTTGGAGTAGGGATTATCGGCATAAGGCACTACCACTAGACTACAGGGTACGCCTGCCCATAGCAATCTGATATTATTGTGTACCCAATATTCCTATAATCGCGTGAACTGAGGATAAAATGAATCGGGACGGGGCATTCACGCAGCGCAGGCAGCGCACGCACGCAGCTTACGTGCGACGTCCGCTCCGTCGCTGCTCGTGTGGTGTGCAGAGGAAGGAGGAGCGGAGGAACTTCGAGAGGAATGGAGCAGCGCTGTGAGCCGACCGTGAGTGCCGCGTCCTTCGCTCAGTCCAATCCGGAGCGAGCGAGCGTCCGTGTGAGTCTATGTGTGTCTATTATTGTCTGCGTGTGTCTGTGTGTGTCTGCGTGTGTCTGTGTGAGTCTATGTGAGTCTGTGTGTGTCTGCGTGTGTTTGTGTGAGTCTGTGTGTGTCTGTGTGAGCCTATGTGAGTCTGTGTGAGTCTATGTGTGTCTGTGTGTGTCTGTGTGAGTCTATATGAGTCTGTGTGTGTCTGTGTGAGCCTATGTGAGTCTGTGTTTGTCTGCGTGTGTCTGTGTGAGTCTGTGTGTGTCTGTGTGTGTCTGCGTGTGTCTGTGTGTGTCTGCGTGTGTCTGCGTGTGTCTGTGTGAGTCTGTGTGTGTCTGTGTGAGTCTTTGTGAGTCTGTGTGTGTTTGTGTGAGTCTGTGTGAGTCTTTGTGAGTCTGTGTGTGTTTGTGTATGTTTGTGTGAGTCTGTGTGAGTCTGCGTGTGTTTGTGTGAGTCTGCGTGTGTCTGCGTGAGTATGTGTGTGTCTATGCGAGTCTGTGTGTGTCTTTGTGTGTCTGCGTGTGTCTGTGTGAGTCTTGTGTGTCTGTGTGTGTCTGCGTGTGTCTGTGTGTGTCTGTGTGAGTCTGTGTGTGTCTGTGTGAGTCTGTGTGAGTCTGTGTGTGTCTGTGTGAGTCTGTGTGAGTCTGTGTGTGTCTGCGTGTGTTTGTGTGTGTCTGCGTGTGTCTGTGTGTGTCTATGTGATTCTATGTGAGTCTTTGTGAGTCTGTGTGTGTCTGCGTGTGTCTGTGTGAGTCTGTGTGTGTCTTTGTGTGGGTCTGTGTGAGTCTGTGCGTGTATGGGGAGCGGTGGTGTAGCGGTTAGCGCACTGCGCTACGAACCCGACGACCCGAGTTCCATTCCCGTTCACTGCGAACTCCACTGACGATTATATGAACTGGTCATGGGCCTCCCCTAGATCTACTCAGCCTCAAATGAGCACCTGTGTGTGTAAACATCAGCACTGAGGAGACAAAGGCGGCCGGGCGTAGTGCTGGCCACCCACCCCCTAGTGTGCCGTGCCGGCCTTCATAGGTGCTCGCTAACAGTACTTGCCCCGACAGTCTGTGAAGGCTACACGGGGGGCGGGAGGACCTTTGTCTCTGTGAGTGCGTGCTGGGGGCGCGTGGTTTGTTCTTGTTCCCCCGCAGATTTGTTTTTAGAACGGCGGCGCTGCTCGGTGCTCTGACCTCTGACCCGCACCCGGCCACTTCAAAGCCCCCTCGCGCTACCTCTCCCTCTCCTTGCGCGCGGCATTAGAGAAGCGATCGACGTCACGCTGAGAGTTGCGCAGCTGACAGCACAGGGGGTGGGGGGTGGGGCAGGGAGGGGGGGTAGAGGGCCCCCCCCCCCCAAGTGGGATCGTAGCGGGCGCGGGAGGAGGGCCGCGCGTTCGACCAAACAGATCGTCACGTGGCTACGTACGGTGCAAAGGAAGTTCGCCGTGCATACACTCACAATCGGGCGGCAGTTCCACGCCAGGAGCGAGGATTGACGCGAGGTTCTAATTGGGAAAGAGTTTCATTGTCAAACCGAGTCATTAATTATTGGCAGATGGGTATCGATGGGTCGGCAGGTGTTTGCAGTGGGGGGGGGGGTGGCGATGATTCCTGCAGAGCTATCCCAGCCGAGCGACCATCGGAAGGCGAAACTCAGTTCAGGCTCGGCACGAGCGAGGTGATCGCTCCTTTAAACTTGGAAACCGTGGACTGGATTCACCCCACTCCGGCGTGACGTAGCCGGCTTCGTCTCACGCGGCGCTTTGTCCTGCAGGAGCCGCTCCTGGGACGGGAGGTGCTGTCCGACTTGCGCTACTGCAGCCTCGTGTCCATCTGGCCGGCGAGAGACACTCCGCGGTGATTGTCTCTCACTCAGAGCCCGACAGCCACTCCGTCACGGTCACTCTCTGTCACCTCCTCGTCTCTCTGATAATATCTAACAAGAGGAATTATTTGCTCCGATCCAGGTGCCTGCCTTGGCTCCTCCCACCCTCAACCAGTATATATACAAGGACGGGTCTCTTGGAATGTATCTCACTTGATACAGCAATCGTGCTGTGACGGTTCTACCTAAAGACGGAAGCTTGTGTTGCCTCCGAAACGTCGTGATTTTTACTTTATTTTTTATTTTACTTTTATTAATTTTAATTTACATTTTTTACCTACGTGACTTTACCGAAAAAAAATCCTTGCAGTCACGAAAGCTTCAAATCTAGAAGGGATTCTTTCGTCATTGCCTCGTCGCCTCCGTGTCTCTCTGTTGCTGCCACTGCCATGGTAGTTACGACAACCGTCACCTTGTGTTGATGTACATCTGTGCATAAACACGTGCATCAGTCCATGCGTGTGTTGATGTACATCTGAGCATCAGCACGTGCATGTGTCCATGCGTGTGTTGATGTACATCTGTGCATAAACACGTGCATCAGTCCATGCGTGTGTTGATGTACATCTGAGCATCAGCACGTGCATGTGTCCATGCGTGTGTTGATGTACATCTGTGCATAAACACGTGCATCAGTCCATGCGTGTGTTGATGTACATCTGAGCATCAGCACGTGCATGTGTCCATGCGTGTGTTGATGTACATCTGTGCATAAACACGTACATCAGTCCATGCGTGTGTTGATGTACATCTGTGCATAAACACGTGCATCAGTCCATGCGTGTGTTGATGTACATCTGTGCATAAACACGTGCATCAGTCCATGCGTGTGTTGATGTACATCTGTGCATAACACGTGCATCAGTCCATGCGTGTGTTGATGTACATCTGTGCATAAACACGTGCATCAGTCCATGCGTGTGTTGATGTACATCTGTGCATAAACACGTGCATCAGTCCATGCGTGTGTTGATGTACATCTGTGCATAAACACGTGCATCAGTCCATGCGTGTGTTGATGTACATCTGTGCATAAACACGTGCATCAGTCCATGCGTGTGGTTGTGGGGAACCGGGAGTATAACGCTTAGCGCGCTGCACTACAAACCCGGTGGACAGAGTTCGATTCCCGCCACCAGTGACGATTATCTGAACCTGTACTGGGCCTCCCCTAGGTCGATTCAACATCAAATGAGTACCTGGTGCGGTGTGTAAACATCGCCACTGGGGAGACAAAGGCGGCCGGGCGTAGTGCTGGCCACCCACCCCCTCGTGTGCCGTGCCAGCCTTCGTAGGGGCTCGCAAACAGCACTTGCCCCAACGGTCTGCTAAGGCTATACGGGGGATCTTAGTCTCTCTCTTTGTGTGTGTGTGTGTGCGTGTGTTCGTGTGTTCTCAGCCACCGTCCCGGCCCCAGGAATTCCCTGTCCAACCCCTCCTCGGTTCCCTCCCGGCCCCAGCTCCCACCGGAGCTCCCGTCAGCGACAGGGGGAGATAGAGCCTGAAACTTGCCGAGCATCGGTTACGAGTGAAGCTGTCCAGGATGAATCCTCATCCTCGTCGTTGTCGTCAAACGTGATCAATCCACAGCTGGATGAAGGTCTCTCCGAGACAGAGAGAGAGAAGAGTAGACTGGAGCTGCAGGGCAGAGATGTGAGCGATGATGTTCATGCAGTCAATGTGTGAATGGAGGAAGGCGTCAACGATTTAGTTAATGTCTTTGTTTTAAGTGCGTTTTTGTTACATTTCTTAATCTGTTTTCTCAATGCATTAACATGTTTTGCTGCCGTGAGACAAACGAGCCACGCGTAAATGTCTCAGCAGTGTACCTCATGGGTCTGAGAACGGCCCGCAGAAGTGGATGTCGCAGAGTTACGCCTGAGAACCCTTCAGGTGACCTCTTACCGACACAGTGGAGCGCAGCACTCATCCACCCACACGCTCTGCGCACGCTGCTCAAACCAAAACAAACAAAACAAAACATCCTTCAAGTGGCTTTGTTATTCTTTACACAACAGGACAAAGACAAAGATCCCCCGTATAGCCTACAACAGGCTGTGGGTGCAAGTGCTGTTAGCGAGCGCCTGTAAAGGCCAGGATGGCACACGACGGGGTGGGTGGCCAAACCCCACGCACTGGTCACAATCGGACGCACACCACTGCGCCGTGAGATCGTGACATGTCAGTCGAACTGATATGGGGGTTTAAAAATAAAGACGTCAAAACATTCTCACGGCTGCGATGTAGCCAAATAAAGTTGCACATCCAAAACGAACGCGACGGGTTGTGTTTTTCGTGCAGTCGTGTGATTGGTTGGTGGACCGGGCTGAGAAATTCTTCTACTCGCTCCGCCTGAGAACCACGTTTAACCACATGCGGCTGAAACCTGGACTCTAACCCAGGCTGGCAGCAAGTTGCCAGCTCGGCGGTTTGACGTCTGATCAAGCCGGCCTCCTCTGATCAACAGCAGAACACGCTAACACATTCGTCAGTAAAAGTGTGTGGCCTTAACAAATAATGTATAGAACAGGGCACGATGCTGGCAACGGTCCTTATAGCCCAACGTCGTGTGCTATGAAAAAAAGACCCATTTCTCGAAACGTCACGTGTCATGAAGAAGGGCTATTGCCCGGAACGTCGCCTATATTGTTTTGCTTTTAATGAACAGCGTTGTCAAAAATGTTGAGTTCTATTTTGTTATCAGTGCTTCTGCACCACCACCGCCGCTTGTTAACTCACGACTAAATAATGTTTAAAAAATATATATTTCACCAGGTAAGGCTCACTGAGTTGTACAGCTTTTTTTCAGAAGCGACCTGGCCACATGATAGCTCAACAAAGTGGCGTATAGTGTGGACATTGATCGCAGCAGTCAAATACTCTAAACGCATGTTGATGTTGATTCTAAATGTGGAGGGAAAATCCGGAGGACCTTGAGAAAAATCCACGCGACCAGGGGGAGAGAGAGACACACACAAACTCCAAATATACAGCAGCAGCAGGCGTCAGGATCTGGATCAAACCCACGACCTCCTGTATACCAGGCGAGCTAGTGAACATCTCCTAGCCACCGTGGCGGCCCCACGCAGCAGCAACGACAGCAGCAGCAGCATCACCAAATGATGCTCAATAAATGCACAAATCAATAGCGGGGAAAAAACATGAGAATTTAAAAATAACCTTCTGGGAGGGTTGACACGCAGGGGGTGTGTGGCTCACGTGACACAGGGTTGGTCCCCCCACCCCACCCCCGGATCGTCCTGTACCAAAAATTGGGACGGTGTCATCTTTTCGCCAACGCGAGCACTTCGTGACGACAGCAGCATCAGCAGGTTAAGTCGCATCAAGCCGGGTCAGCATTACGAGGGGTATCGGAGGTACGAATGGTCGGATTTAGTAAGCGGCGGCAGCGGCAGCAGAGGCAGCGGTAACATTGGCATGAGAGCAGCAGGTTGAGCATCATGAGCAGTAACAGCAGCAGCAGCTGCATCAGATGTACCAGTTTCACGTGTATTTGTTTACCCCGCGGGGAAGTCAAAAGACCAGGGCGAGTCTCGTCGGCAAGAGCGATCGGAGGCATCAACAAAATGGCAAAAGGAAAAAAAATCGCGTATAGCGATGAAGCAAATAGGGATCGCCAGGATGGTCAAGGCTTTGCGTGTGGCCTGTGCTCCGGCACTGTGGAGGCGAGGGTTGGTGGAGCACCGTGCGAATGCCGTGACGCTCCCTTGCCCGTGCGCATCCAGTGACCATCACCCTGGCTGGCCAAGAGCGTGGCGAGTACGGCGAAGCGTGGACTAATCTCCATCTCGTCCCATCTGTATGGGGATAGAGTGTTGCTCCCTCGCACACGTAGGGTTGCTCTGGATGCTCCGGTTTTCTCCCATATGTGTAATTGGCTGAAAAACACGTTAATATATATATACAGAGGATCACAGAGCTTGGGCAATCCTCGCGCTTGGAGCCGTTCGCTCTCTTTGAGAGTGAGAGGCAACCGTGCACCGTACAAGTCGTAAAGGACTACGTCACGGGACCTCCTTTGCCAGGACCAAAATATGAGAATAGGGTTTCCCCTTTTTTCTGGCAACAAAACAGGTGTTGAGATGTTAAAACACCAAACTGAAACCTTTTACAAGGAATCACGTCTGCATTAACCACAATACTTGTGGTCAGAATGCAAACAACACGTCTTTTGGTGTCCTTTGGTCCAACACCATTTAGAGACGAGGCTCAAAAGAAAGCTGTCTCTAGTGTGGACAAATCAGTTTCAAAGACAATGCATATATTATCCGAGTATGCTTTTTTCTGTTTGCATTCTGACCACAAGCATTGTGGTTAATGCAGACATGATTGCTTGTGTAATGGGTTCAATTTAGGCGCACACACTTCTTGGGAAGCAACACTCATTTATTAATTAACACAACGTTTACTCAACAGTTACTCTTACTCTACACATAGGGTGGTGACCACCGACCTACACTAGCTAACACACAATTGTATTTTAGCCGCTCCAGCGTGACCCAGCCAGGTGGCTGCTGGCAGTCCGCTCACTGTAGGTCTTCTCTTCTGGCATCTTCACGAGGTGTCTTCATTCTTCTCAGGAACAGCCCTGCTCTGCCTTCACACCACGCTTATATCTCGTCTCTCTGGCGTGGCCGGCTCCGCCCAGGCCACGCCTCACTTCCCAGGCCACGCCTCACTTCCCAGGCCACGCCTCACTTCCCCCACCTCTGGGAAGGTCCGGATCCCTCCAGCACGTGACCCCCCAGGCACCCCCTTGGGGCCCCCAGCCCTCGTACGGGCCAACACAGTAGTGACCGTTCTGTCACTACATCACCCCCCCCTGTATAAACACACAGCCGTCCCCGGCTGTAACACAACTGTGAACATCTAAAAGGTGTGCCTCCGAACCAGCAACATCAATAAATGACCGGCGACCGATAAGAAATACAATCACGTAATATATACAGAATCGACGAGGGTAAAAGGGAACCACATAGAAAACGGGGAATTAACAACAAATATACATGAAAACCGGCTAACCCACTTACGCTCCATCACAGCCCCCCCACCGTTAGAATCACGCATGCAATGACAGTCACCCGTTAGCACCCCCCCGCCTTTCCGACGTGGCGTCACAACCAGTAGCACGCGTCGGCCATATCGGGGGGGGAATTTCCATGTTACCACCCCACCGCCTTTCCGACGCGGCGTCACAACCAGTAGCACACGTCGGCCATATCGGTGGGATTTTAACCCAGTCTCTCTCCAAGACTCGCATCGCAGCATATAGCTGTACCGACCGAGCTGAGACGACCCAGTCTCTCTCCCAGACTCGCATCGCAGCATATAGCTGTACCGACCGAGCTGAGACGACCCATCGTTCACTCACTGCACAACATGCACCCTAACAACTGAGGGAAACAGTCTCAACGTAACAGGCCAACTCCACCCGAACCTTACGAATCTCCAGCCCTCTGTTTCAACGCGCCTCAGAGGGTCTCAACCTCCGAGCCGTCAGGTCAAGCCGTCAGCCATAGCATGACGGGACCATCCTCCCTGAGCCATGTGAGCGCACAGCCCACAAGTCTAGACAAGCCACAGAGTGTCTCGATCTCTGGGCTGTCAGGTCAAGCCGTCAGCCATTGCATGACGGGACCACCCTCCCTGAGCCATGTGAGCGCACAGCCCACAAGGCTAGACAAGCCACAGAGTGTCTCGCTCTCCGGGCTGTCAGGTCAAGCCGTCAGCCATTGCATGACGGGACCACACACTCCGAGCCATGTGAGCACACAGCCCACTAGGCTAGACATACCACGGAGTGTTTCAATCTCCGGGCTGTCAGGTCAAGCCGTCAGACACAGCATGACGGGACCACACTCCCTGAGCCATGTGAGCACACAGCCCACTAGGCTAGACATACCACGGAGTGTTTCAATCTCCGGGCTGTCAGGTCAAGCCGTCAGACACAGCATGACGGGACCACACTCTCCGAGCCATGTGAGCGCACAGCCCACTAGGCTAGACATGCCACGGAGTGTTTCAATCTCCGGGCTGTCAGGTCAAGCCGTCAGCCATTGCATGACGGGACCACACTCTCCGAGCCCTGTGAGCGCACAGCCCACTAGGCTAGACATACCACGGAGTGTTTCAATCTCCGGGCTGTCAGGTCAAGCCGTCAGCCATTGCATGACGGGACCACACTCTCCGAGCCCTGTGAGCGCACAGCCCACTAGGCTAGACATACCACGGAGTGTTTCAATCTCCGGGCTGTCAGGTCAAGCCGTCAGCCATTGCATGACGGGACCACAACGTTCATGTTAGACACGCAACACTCACTGGGCCATCCTGGTCAGGATCTGCGCCCCAAGATAAGTGACAGCCAGCACCACAATTCCAAATCCCTGGCAGCATGTCACCATCGCAATTTAACACCATCACAACACATACAATTTGAATTATGATCCCCCACAGAACTGATCCAATGCCGAACAGGTACGCACAATTTGTGACGATCCCGAATATTCAATGGTCACAACAATACACCTCACATCCCGTATCCGTACACATCATCTCCGAGACTCGCATTGCAGCAATGCAGCTGTACCAACCGAGTGGAGAGAGCAACGCAATTTGACGGCAATTAACGGAAACGCACCCCCGATCCATGTAGAACACAAGGAGCATTCCCGCACAAAAGACATCATCTGTGCAACAACGGACAGGAACCAACCAGTGAGTTTGAAACAAACCGAACCTGTAATTTCAAAATCCCCTTCAACATTAACCATGGGACTCAGGGCATTCGAATAAAAAAAAACTATACACAAACGCCAAGAATCGCCGAATTGATTAATACAGTATATGCAGTATACGAAGTTCGTACAGTCAATCATTTGGCGCAATGTTCCATCCAGTCCCCACATGGCAACACACACAATCAATACTCCAGACAATCCGTACATAGTAAATAATCACCAGCAAGTACCCAACAGTCCATACACTGTTAACAATTTCAAGCAAAGCTCCATACGGTCTGTACATTGGCAACAATGACGATCAAAGTTTCTGACAGTTACAAGTGACAATCACGAGCGAAACTCCATACAGTATACACAATAACAATGGCGAATTCGCAACACAACGATGTAACAACACGAGTCATTAACACAGCAACATACAGGATATCAACGGAGCTCGGGACACCAACAACGAATTAATCATTAACTACCCCCAGAAGATACCGATCTCGACGCCGTAATTAACAACAAACACTGGTCGCCGCGTCAATTTCTCACGCACACAACCGGACGAACACGTTCCGCATCCCAGCGAGTAAAAAAAACCCGCGATCGCAACCCGGCACACGCAAGATGGGTGAAGTTATTATTATTATTTTTATTGGGGCCGGGTGCTTGTCAAGTCACAACTCGCCTGGCAAACTGTGAATAGCGGAGGGCGGCAAGGTGGAGCACTGGAACGGCCCGAAGAATCTTTGATGGTGAACACGGCCTGCTCTTGCGAACCCATCCACCTCTCGCGCTCGAGCAGAAGGCTGGAACTCCCCCTCTGCAGGCGTTGATGTCGGCGGGAGCGGCATTTCGGCAGCAGGAGCGGTGTTTTGGCGGGAACAGCGCCCCGACCAGCCGCCGAAATAGCGGGAACGGCGTTTTGGCGGGAACAGCGCACCGACCAGCCGCCGAAATGGCGGGAACGGCGTTTTGGCGGGAACAGCGCCCCGACCAGCCGCCGAAATGGCGGGAACGGCGTTTTGGCGGGAACAGCGCCCCGACCAGCCGCCGAAATGGCGGGAACGGCGTTTTGGCGGGAACCGCGCCCCGACCAGCCGCCGAAATGGCGGGCCCACCGCGTGGCCCGCATGCCCGGGCCTCCCCCGCCAGCCACCGCAGCGACGATGGTGTCCTCTCGCCGCGGCTCCGTCGCTCCGTTCCCGATGGCGGCGAAGCAGCAGTGCGATGCAAGTCCCGCCGCTCCGCGTGCAGCGCCATCTCTCTCTCTCTCTGTCACCGGGGCTGCCATCCCCGGGGCTGTCCGAAGGACGGTCGTAACACCATCCCCGTCGTACGAAGACGTCCAGATGAGTTTTGTATTTGTTTTTCGTGTGCCCATTTTACTTCCCTAGGATAACACCTAGCAATATTTATTTTTCCACAACTTCTGACACCAAATGTAATGGGTTCAATTTAGGCGCACACACTTCTTGGGAAGCAACACTCATTTATTAATTAACACAACGTTTACTCAACAGTTACTCTTACTCTACACATAGGGTGGTGACCACCGACCTACACTAGCTAACACACAATTGTATTTTAGCCGCTCCAGCGTGACCCAGCCAGGTGGCTGCTGGCAGTCCGCTCACTGTAGGTCTTCTCTTCTGGCATCTTCACGAGGTGTCTTCATTCTTCTCAGGAACAGCCCTGCTCTGCCTTCACACCACGCTTAATCTCGTCTCTCTGGCGTGGCCGGCTCCGCCCAGGCCACGCCTCACTTCCCAGGCCACGCCTCACTTCCCAGGCCACGCCTCACTTCCCCCACCTCTGGGAAGGTCCGGATCCCTCCAGCACGTGACCCCCCAGGCACCCCCTTGGGGCCCCCAGCCCTCGTACGGGCCAACACAGTAGTGACCGTTCTGTCACTACACTTGTAAAAGGTTTCAGTTTGGTGTTTTAACATCTCAACACTTAATTTGTTGCCAGAAAAAGGGGGACAACTTATTCTCACAAGTTGTAAAGAGTATCGTTACAGTATCGGGAGCAAGCAATAGCAGCACCGACCATAGAACGAGTAGTAGCTGCACGTGCTATCCGTGAAGGCGAGGCGTGGGGTCTGTGCCCTGACTCAAAGAGGCAGTGGTGGAAATTCCGCATTTCCATGACGTATTTCCAACAAAGTGGTACTAATTGTATCGGTCCTGGAGGAATGGGGGACTTAGTTGTGAGTTGACCACTCCGACAAGGATTTGAACTCGCAACCGTCTGCTGAGTTGCGAGGGACACAATTGCTTGGGTTAGTGAACTTAAACAATCAAGTCGTGGGTAGTTTAAGAGCGGTGGCGCAATGGTTAGCGTGCCGCGCTGCGCTCTCAACGCGGTGAACCTAAGTTCAATTCCCGGTATCGGGTAAGACCCACCCCCGCTGTCTCCACTCTCTTAGTCTCCGTGGATCTCCCGGTCTCTCCCAGCGCCGTCATCGTTTCGCGTATCTCCCCGTGTTTCCATATAAGTCTGCCCCCGTCTCACCCCATCTCTCCTCGCGCGCTCTGCCCCCGTCTCTCCCCATCCCTCTCCAGATCTTTCCATCTCGTCTCCCGGGTGCGCGCCGTGTGTCTGCCACCCTCGGTAGGGCTCTCGCCGCGTGTAACCAATTCTCTCGCGGCAGCTGCCAAACCATCGTGTCAGCAGACACAACAGCAGTAGCAGCAAAGCCGTTTCATCCTGGTACAACTTTAGCAGCTCGTCCAGACGCAACCCCCAGTGGACGAGTCACTTCAGTGGCCACTCACTCACACACTCAGCCAGCCAGCATCGCCTGCCAACTCTACTGCGTTGATGTGAAGGTGCTGTTGGAGCTTGCCATGCCTCTGTACTCGGGTACGTATCCTTCATTGCCTATCCACGTGTTGCACCCCACTCGTTGTCCATCCACTGCTGGACGAGGGCCACCTCGCAGCTCAGGAAGCTTCGGGGAATTCACAAATCTGCACGTGATCTACCAACTCTCGCCTCCCAAGCACGCGACACGTGCTGTTTGTTGTTTTTGTTGTTTAAATTTGTAAATTCACTGTAAGGTACGAACAGCCGAATTACCAATCCACCGCTGGATGGCGGCTTCCTGGCAAGCACGTGCGTGGGTCGTGCCGAGTTAGTTGACCATACTTCACCACGCCGGTGAGTGCGGCTTGGTCGGAGCGGAGATGGATGCACGGTGTCACCACTTGCCCTCTTGCTGCCCACAGAGCCCGTAACGCCTGTTATGGCACCGCTGGTGCATCCTGGTACGAGTCGATGTAGAAACTAGTGCTGCAGGTTTACACACAGATGGACTTATATCGTGTTTACTCTGCAGTGCCTTGCCTTAGGCTGTCAGTAGATGTCGCCTAATAATGGCATTCATGCTTATAACGGTTATTTAATAATAGTAATCATAATGGCCATCCCTTTGTTAATCCACTGCTGTATGAAGATCTCTTTGCAAGCGATGTCAGACAGATGGGAGTTGTTTGACCATACTTCACCGAGCTGGTGGGCACGAGTTGGTGAGGGGGGTGGGAGGCCAGGACCGGTTCGGGTAGCGCGCGCCACTGGTGGTAGCCGTGGCCGGGAATCGAACCGAGGCGGCCGGGATCGCAGCGTAGTGCGCTAACCACTGCGCCACCGCTCCCCCTCCCACCCCTTCCCCCCTCCCCCTGACCCCCGTGATAATAAAAGGAATGCCAACGATGCACCCAGGAACAGCCTCGCGGAGTCTCAAGACCATAGTGAGGGGGTGCTGCTACATACGGATGTTTAGCCTAATGCACGAATGAGACTTTGGCTTGGCACGTGTGTTTTGAGTAAGGCGTTTGAATAGCGCCGTGTATTGGTGTGTATTGTGCTCGTAAGCGACTTGCTTCATGTTGAGTGTGTGAGTGTGTGTGGGATTGTGTGTGAGTTTGTGTGAGTGTGGGGAGCGGTGGTGTAGCGGTTAGCGCGCTGCGCTGCGCTATGAACCTGCCGACTCGGGTTCGATTCACGCTCACGGTCAACACCAGTGACGATTATCCTTAACCGGTCTCGGGCCTCCCCTAGGTCTATTCAGCCTCAAATGAGTACCTGGTGCAATGTGTAAACATCGTAACTAGGGAGACGAAGGCGGCTGGGCGTGGTGTTGGCCGCCCACCCCCTCGTGTGCCGTGCCGGCCTTCATAGGGGCTACTCGCGAACAGCAATTGCCCCGACAGTCTGTCACAGGCTACGCGGGGGATCTTTGTTTTTTTGTCGCCGCAACGTGGCGCTGACTGTTTTTTTTCCACCACGAAATGTCCCCTGCACGGTATTTGTGCCGCAGCCTGCGCCGCTCCACAATAGGGGGAGGGTGGGGGGGTTGGCACGGGCTGCCTCTGCGTGTCCCCTCCTCTGTGTACCGGCCTGACGTCTCCTTCTGACAGTGCAGAGGGTGCTGCATCTGTGGTTGTCAGTCGCTCTGAGAGCCACTCCGCGCATTCCTCCCCTAATGGGAGAGGCGTAGGGATTGTGGGATTAAAATGGGGATTGGGAGGACGCTTTTGGTGGACGGGATTTATTTTATTTTATTTCCATGATATATGCCAAAGGGCCCGAGTGTTAAATCACACACGGATAATACATGATGATGATGATCATACTGTGCAGGTGCGCACGGTTGTGCTGCTGTTTGGATTTCGCCACTGTGTGATTTCGGGAGTGTGTCACGGCGTGTGTTGTTCGGCTCGATGTCCGACGTTTCGCTCCGCGGGCTGCTGGGCGAGCTTTTTCAGGAAAAACTGAATGTCTGCAGACACAAAAAAAATCTGACATAGCTAATGCCCGCTTCGGTAGAAGATGCGTGAACTAATTAACGTAAGTCAGACTTAGCCGGGCACAAATTACAAAGCGCGCATTTGCGGTGGGCTGATGTCACGGCGGAGGCCTTAGCACGTGGGTGAGATGTATCAGCCTCACTCGATTGCCGAGGTCAAGACCTCATGGAGCTCAGAGCAGTTTGAGGTCAACGTCCGTGGAACGTCGACGTCGATTGAATTCGGTCGTGAAAAGCATTTCAGTCACCGGTGAGCCGGAGAAGATTTGTCGGTCACAATGTGGTCAATACATCAGCCACGTGTCACTGATAACGGACTGTATTTATAAACGTGACAATCTCGTCGGGTGGTGGAGGGGTAATGACACGAATTGTGGCACAAAACTACCATCACGTAACCTAACACAAAAATAAACGCGGATCAAAGTAATCACAAAGATTATCGTGTAGATCATGGTAATCACGCTGATGGCGGTCGTGATGATAATTCCGATGTCGACACCGCTGATGATTATACATCTACTTCTGATGATAACGATGCTGCTTATGATGATGATGCTGCTGATGAGGATGATGATGCTGCTGATGAGGATGATGATGATGCTGCTGATGATGATGCTGCTGATGAGGATGATGCTGCTGCTGATGATGATGCTGCTGCTGATGATGATGATGCTGCTGCTGATGGTGATGATGCTGCTGCTCTTTGGCCCCTGGGCCCCGTGGCGTCCACTCAGTGCGGGTCAAGTGGGGCCGCCAACTCCACTGCGTCACGGAGCTCGACTCGAGCCGCCCGCCGCTTGCGTTCAAGTCTCGCCTCTTCTCCCTCACCGGCGTGCGCCCCGAGCGACAGAGAGTGGTGCTGCTTGGCACACAGCTCAAGGTGTGGTGAGGGGTGGGGGTGACCTTGTGTGTGTGTGGGGGGGGGAAAGGCACGTGGGATCTCAGGGGAGGCAACAACGTTAGGGGCATCCGCACAAACCATGGCAGTAGATGCGGATGATACCAGATGCACAAATGGAAAAAAAACTCTCCCGTAGACTGCGGCCATCTAGAACAGACTTAGAACGACGCAATGCCCCAATCCACAAACACGATGGAGACATCACAGCGATTCACTCCGCTGCTCCTTACGCGGTTATCCGGGTTTGACCACGTGAATGTGAAATCAGTCATACGAAAGAATAATAATTATTTTCAGCGTTATGTTTCTCGTGTTTTATTATTTTCTTAGTATTATATAGACAGCATATTGTTTTTTTTACTCGGGCAGAAATATGACTGGGTAGTTCAGATTGAATCCGGGGGTTTTAGCCGCCCAGCTGTGATGAGACCGGGTCCTCAAACTGTGTGTCGAGTCGATCGTCTCCACGCCTTACCCTCGGTCGCCTGTGACTTCCTGGTCGACTCGTAGACCTACAGACGAAGCTGTGGTGGAACCGAGTGCGGATGGGGAAGATCTTTGCCGATGTTCGCCTACAAAGCTGATCCCTGCACCAGTCTTGGTTCTCGAAACGGAATTGCGGAGAAGGATCGTTCAATACATTACTCTGAGTATGAAAATGATATTCCAATTATATCACCAGCTGAGATGAAAAACCATGTTTTAGCAAGAAGTAGCCCTTGTTTGTAAGTGCAACCTGAGCATAAGTTTGAAAAGATAATATCGAAGAACATTCATAGATTATTCGATAGATTATTGTTTTGCAGGGCCATGAGAGATGGGGAGACCTTCATCCAGCAGTGGATTCATGATGACTGCTGGTGATGATGGCATTCGTGTTCGTACCCCCTCCTGACTGAAGCTGATGTTGTCTTCCTTTAGGACCACAGCTGGGGCATATTGAAGCTGAGAGACGTGAGTCCACGTGGCCCCATCACAGCCCGAGCACGTCACCATCACGCACGCTCTCATCACTCGGAGTCTCGGTCGAGTCTAAACGATTAAAACAAAACCAATTACACTATGGGGACCTCATTTGCCAGTAAAAATATGATAATTGGTTCTTTACCCTTCTATCTGGCAACAAAACTGACACCTTTTTGCAAGGAGTCATGTTTGCATAGACCGCAATACCTGCAGTCATAATACAAACAAAAGAACATAACTCTGATAATGTGCACTGTCCTTGAAGTTGATTGGTCCACACCCGAGACAGCTTTCCTTCGAGCCTAGTCTCATATGGGTTGGACCAGATGACGCCAAAACATAACTCTGATAATGTGCATTGTCCTTGAGTTGTGCGCCTTTTGGCGTCATCTGGTCCAACCCATATGAGACTAGGCTCGAAGGAAAGCTGTCTCGGGTGTGGACCAATCAACTTCAAGGACAGTGCACATTATCAGAGTTATGTTCTTTTGTTTGTATTATGACTGCAGGTATTGCGGTCTATGCAAACATGACTCCTTGCAAAAAGGTGTCAGTTTTGTTGCCAGATAGAAGGGTAAAGAACCAATTATCACAAAACCAATTGTTTGTATTTTACCAGGTAAGGCCCGCTGATCTACACAACTCCTCTTCACACGTCCACAAACGATAACCCAATGAAGTGGCTGATCGTTGTGGAAATGTATAGCAGCCAAATACTCTAAACGCGTTGCTTTGTAGACGTAGAGGGAACAGAGAAAAATCCACGCGACCACGGGGAGAGAGACACGCAAACTCCAAATATACAGCAGCAGGCGTCAGGGTTGGGATCGAACTACCTCGCCTGCATACCAGGCGAGGTAGTTAACATCTCGGTAAGACTCGGTTCTCAGGATCAACTCGCTCTTTCATAGCCAATGACCTCCCACTGCTGGGCCAAAGGCCTCCCCCCAGTGTCCTCCGTTACTCAGCCTTTCTTACCACCACCACCATCAAAGCCATTTCCTGTTGAAATGATCATTGAGGCATTGGTACTTATCTCCCGTTTATAGTGGTGGTGATTCCATGTTCCCATGACGAGGACAATGATATACATACTATAACCACTGTTGACTTCCCTACTAAGTGGTACTATTTTATCGACCTAATAGATATGATGGGCTGAGTCACCTCCCCCCCCCCACCACCACCCAAACCAGGAGTTGATCTCGCTGGCTTCTGATTGCGAGCCATTCGCTGTTCCAAACACACACACGCAGATCTGACACCCGTGTGCGTGTTCCCAGGGTGTGTGGGGAGTGGTGGTGGAACGGTTTGCGCTCCCGCTCACAGCCAACACCAGTGACGGATTATCTGAACCGGTCCTGGACCTCCCCCGAGGTGCGGCGTGTAAACATCAGCATTGGGGACGACGAAGCCGGCCGGGCGTGGTGCTGGCCACCCACTCCCTCGTGTGCCGTGGCGGCCTCCATAGACGCCACTCGCTAACAGCACTTGCCCCAACAGTCCGTGAAGGCTTTACGGGCGATCTTTGTCGCTGTGCCCAGGGTGTGACGGTGCTGCTCGTTGGCACGACGGACGAGCTGCCCCTGGTGCCACCGGATCGGCCCCTGTTTGCGGAGGACGTGTCTCGAGCAGGGCACCTCCCGTCTGCGGTGAGACCCGGCAGTGACCCCGACACCAACGCGCCTCTCTCGCCCCATAGACTGGTAGACAGTGCGCCAGGTTAGCGCATAGACGCTCACCAGGTGAGCACACGGCCGCTCACCAGGTGAGCACACGGTCGCTCACCAGGTGAGCACACGGCCGCTCACCAGGTGAGCACACGGCCGCTCACCAGGTGAGCACACGGCCGCTCACTCGGTCACAGTTCCTATGATCACTGTTTCATTGCTTTTATGGCTTTAATTTGGTGATTTTCGAAAAGTTTTTTGGTTTGGCCATGTTTGTTTGTTGTAGTACAGAGTTAGACTGATGGCCTTAATCTAAGTTGTCTTGTGGTTGTTTGTTGTTTGACTTGCATCCCACTGGGATTTTTGCACATTTTTGTGTACGGTGCTTTTTCTGCAATATTTTACTGTCTTTTCTTGGATTTTCTGTTTGCACTCAGTCACATATTCACTTTAAGATGTTTTTTGTTCATGTTTTTGTTTTTTGCTTGTTGCGGTTGCACCCGATTCAAGAGCCGAATGGCTCACAGGGCTATACCTAATAATGAACTTGAAACTTGACTGCGCCACTCAAAGAGTGAGCACACCTCCGATTGGCACGGTTGGCTACGTACGGTGCGAACGAAGTTCAACGTACGTGCACAAGTGAGAGAACACAACTCCTGCGCACATCTGCTCCCTTGACGGCGGAGAAACTCGTTGAGATTCACGAGCCGCGTGTGATTACGTCACCTTCCCCGGGAGATTCCCCCACCGTCCCCCTCCCCCCCGATCCCAAAGTGGAACGGAACGCAATCCGAGAGAGGACCTCCACCGCGGAGATGGAGCGATGAACTCGTCTCGCGCGCAAGGCGCTGGGTGGGATTTTGCGTCGCAGGATTCGCGAAGGACGGTGGCTGCGGCAGCGGCGCATTGGCGAGGCTCTTCATTCATCCAGCAGTGGATTGCCCACGGCTCTGATGATGCTGGGGGTGATGGTGGTGATGGTGGTGGTGATGGTGGTGGTGATGGTGGTGGTGATGGTGGTGATGGTGGTGATGGTGGTGGTGATGGTGGTGATGGTGATGGTGGTGATGGTGGTGATGGCGATGGTGGTGGTGGTGATGGTGGTGATGGTGGTGATGGTAGTGGTGATGGTGGTGATGGTGGTGATGGTGGTGATGGTGATGGTGGTGATGGTGGTGGTGATGATAGTGGTGATAGTGTTGATGATGGTGATGGTGGTGATGGTGATGGTGGTGATGGTGATGGTGGTGATGGTGATGGTGAATGTGCGCTTCCGTCAGCTGGCGCCACCCGTTGGGCTGCTGAACCTGGGGAGGAGCTGCTACCTGAGCGCCGTCGTGCAGTGCCTGGGCAGCATCCCCGAGCTCCGAGCGGCACTCGCCGGGTGAGCCACGGGCACTCGCCGGGTGAGCCACGGGCACTCACCTGGTGAGACACGGGTTCTCACCTGGTGAGACACGGGTCCTCACCTGGTGAGCCACGGGTCCTCACCTGGTGAGACACGGGCACTCACCTGGTGAGCCACGGGCACTCACCTGGTGAGCCACGGGCACTCACCTGGTGAGACACGGGTCCTCACCTGGTGAGCCACGGGTCCTCACCTGGTGAGACACGGGCACTCACCTGGTGAGCCACGGGTCCTCACCTGGTGAGCCACGGGTCCTCACCTGGTGAGACACGGGCACTCACCTGGTGAGCCACGGGTCCTCACCTGATGAGCCACGGGTCCTCACCTGGTGAGACACGGGCACTCACCTGGTGAGCCACGGGTCCTCACCTGGTGAGCCACGGGTCCTCACCTGGTGAGCGGCGGCACTCACCTGTTGAGACACGGGTCCTCACCTGGTGAGACACGGGCACTCACCTGGTGAGCCACGGGTCCTCACCTGGTGAGCCACGGGTCCTCACCTGGTGAGCAACGGGTCCTCACCTGGTGAGCCACGGGCACTCACCTGGTGAGCGACAGTATTCACCGGGTGAGAGGTGGTTCTCATCTGGTGAGCGGCGGCACCCACCTCGGCAGCCGTGAGATGCGCGCACAAGAACAAACAGCCACTAAGTGGCGGTGACGTTACCGCAGCGCTCGTGCCAGGCTAGGTGCACTCCGAGGCGACGTGGGGGACTGTCCACGTGCACTCACGCGGTGGCGATGCGCTCACTAGGAGCTGGAGGGACCGGATACCCCACTGCGGTGTGAACCAGAGTCACGGTACAATACCTCCCCTGGATCGTCCTAGATCATCATTATTATTATCATTCCACTTGTTTAGCCACGAAAGCCTCACTGAGTCTCATGATTATTTTGCAGGAGGGCCCTGCCAGATTTAGTTTGCAGCAGAGGGGCAATATTTGCTTTCATGTATAATCCCCTTTGAATACTTTGCGGTGTAAAATTTCTAACTTTTTGGAACCAAATTTGGAACTACGATCCCGGCACACAATGGCCTACGGTTAACGCACACCGCGGTATTAACCAGGGAGGCCTACTGGCTTCGAACCGTGAACCCTCTGCAGCAACAAGATGGGCCGTGAGATGTGAATATATTCCCGTGGCTTTTGCAGGTTCACGGAACGTCGGACAGAGCGAGGGGGAACAGAGGCTGCCGGGACCTTCACTGCAGGTCAGAGGGAGGTGAACTCCACTCGGTCAGCATGGAGCGGTGGCGAAGTGGTTAGCGCACTGCGCTCCAAAACCGACAGCATCGGTGGCGAATATCTGAGCCGGTCCTGGGCATGCACGAGGTCGACTCAGCCTCAAATGAGTACCTGGTGCGGAGTGTAAACAAAGGTGGCCGGGCGTGGTGCTGGCCACCCACCCCCTCGTGTTCCGTGGCAGCCTTTGTAGGTGCTCACAAACAGCACTTGCCCCAAACAATATGCTAAAGCTATACGGGGGACCTTTGTCTTTGTGTGTCGCCTAAGTGCCCCCCTCTCTCTCTCTCCATGACGCACTCGAGCAGCGCTACGCGACCTCTTCGACTCGATGGCCCGCGCCACCGTCTCGGTGGACACCTCCTCCTCCTCCTCGTCGCCCTCGTCTCGCCTGGCCCAGGAGCTGCACCGCATGATGACGCGGGGAGATGCCCGGGGACCCTACGCCGCCCTCGCCGACTCCGACGACCCGGCCGATGCGGTCCATCCCCGCTCCCCCGCCGAGGGGCGACCCACGCCGACTCTACCGCCCGTCGCGCTCTGGAAGGCCCTGCACCGCGCCGCGCCCGACTTCGCGCGCACGGGGCACGACGGCCTTCACCTGCAGCAGGTGCCCGTGGGATTGTGCGAATCGGTGCGGGTGACAGTGTGGGTGGGTGAGCCTCAACGGAGTAGTACCTGGTGCGGTGGGTAGATGTCGCCACTAGGGAGGCAGAGGCGGCCGGCCGGGCGTGCGTTGCTAGCCACTCACCCCATGCCGGGCTTCATAGGGACACGCTAACAGCACCTGCCCCAACAGTCTGGTGAAGCTAGACGGGGGATCTTTGTATTTTTGCATGGCTGCATTCATGATGATAAATACATCTCTCCCAAGCCCTCCCAACTCTAACATTTCTCCAACTCTTCCATCACTCAAACCATTCCAATCCCTCCCACCTCTCTCGTCCCTCCACTCCCTCGCATCCCTCAAATCATTTTCATCCCTCCAATCATTCCCATCTCTCCCATCACTCTAATTCCTCCAGTCATTCCCATTCCTGCAATCCCTCCCACCTCTCCAATCATTCTCATCCCTTCGATCATTCCCATCCCTCCCACCCCTGCCACGACCCCCTCTCTCAGGACGTTGCCGAGTGCTGGACACGAGTGCTGCGGCTGCTGAGGGAGACGCTGCAAGTCGAAGATCCGGCCTGGGCCGACCCGGTGAGGAATCCAACCTGGCCCCTGTCACCTTCGCGGCGATCGCTGCCAGAGGAAGTCGGAGAAGCTGAAGGCGGCAGGGGAGGGGGGAGATGGTTGAGGCCCACTTCTCAGATTCGGACTCTCGAGATGTGATGACACGCCCAGTAGCGATGTTGTACTGCTGCTACTTCTTGAATGCGCAACCTTCGATTTTCTATGTTCGCCTGTCTCTCTGTCTACTCTCCACGTCTTTGTGTGTCTCCTTGTGTCTCTCTATTTGTCTCTCTGCCTCTTTCACGCATCTATTTTTCAGTGTTTGTCTCCACCTGTGTGTCTCTCTCTCTCTGTATGTATGTCTGTGTTGTCCCTCTTTCTCTATCTTTCCATGTATCTCTCTGTGTCACTCTCTGCCTATCTATCTAACTATCTGTATCTCTCTCTCTGTATTTTGCTATCTCAATAAACGTGCGCGCGTCGAGTGCTGACTGGGGGCACGCGATCTTTCACTGCGCGCAGGAAGTGTGGGTGGACGGAGATGGAAAGTTGAACTTCGTCGAGCAGTTCTTCGGGGTGAAGGTGGACAAGAAGAAGTATCCTTTCGTCACCCGCATTGCGATCACCACCATTTCCCGTGGGCGGCAGTCGTGTGCCATCCCACTCACTGATGGGACAGTCGGTGCCGTTCACAACCCTTGACCGTGACCTCGGTAGGACGCAGCATTCGCTGGAGAATGGAAAGAGCAGAGAGAGTGGAGAGACCCGGGACAATGGAGAGACCCAGAACAACGGGGAGACCGCAGAGACCCAGAGAAGGAGAGAGACTCAGGGAAACAAGGAAGTCCCAGAGAAAGGAAAGACACACGAAGTCAAAGAGACCACGAGAAAGGGAGAGAGCCATCACAATGGAGAGACCCAGGAGACGGGGGAGACCCGCGTTTCTCTCATCGAGCTCCGCCGTGCGACGAGCGACTCGGGCTCCACGCTGGACTTCTCGGCTCGCCTGGCACTGGTAGGTGAGCGGCAGGGTTGCCACGTGGTAGGTGAGTGGCAGGGTTGTCACGTGGTGTGTGAGCGGCAGGGTTGCCACGTGGTGTGTGAGCGGCAGGGTTGCCACGTGGTGTGTGAGCGGAAGGGTTGCCACGTGGTGTGTGAGCGGCAGGGTTGCCACCTATACTGGTTTCCCCGGGATCGATCCTCTTGTTGTGGCAGCAAGCCGTCCTGGAACATCTATAAAAGTCTTCCCTGAACACTGGAGGTCCTGGTTTTGTCAGCCGCGTAGTAATCGCTGAATCTCTCATTCAATATTCTCCAAAACGCTGCCATGCCAGCTTGGAGTAGTGACTGTCGGCGTAAGGCACTACCACTAGAAGGTAAGGCTATGCATAATAATCCTATATCATCGTACGCCTTATTCTGCCGCGATATCCCTAAAATGTGTAGTTTATTGATATTTATCAGAGAAACACATTGCAAGTTTTAGTGATATAAATGTAGGAGCCCTCTATTAAAAGCTTGACATTTTGGTACCACCACCCCCCTGGGAGGTTTCTAGATCCGCCTCCGCCTGACCCCCGTGCCCTCTGACCCACAGGCCGGGGTGGTCCGTCTGCCCGCGTACCTGGGCGTCCACGTGACTCGGACCCCGGGCGACGACGCTCACCTCCAGGTGTGAGTCCCAGACATGTCTTGGCCGTGCCGGCCCCCGCCCCCCAGCGAGTGTTGAGAGTTTTCTTGTTGCCCTGTCCACCCCACCCCCAACGTTATGATCCCGACCGTGCTCTCGGTGTCTCCCCGTCGACACGAAGAATTCGTTCGGGTCTAACCGAGGGGGGGGGGGGGGGGCGAGGGGGGATGATCATAAATTCGTGCGTTCTCAAATCGAGTGATTTAGCGGTGTGGTTTTTCGAAATTGGCATCGGTTGGACTGTGACTCCGGCACACGATGACCGGGTCAATTCGATTGATGTCACGGGATCTTTAATGTCGTCTGTGAAGCGGACGATGAGCAGTCGGGGGTTTTGTTGTTGTTGCTGTTTAAAATTAATCAGGGCGGCCTGCCAGAATGGAAGTGTGAACCTCTGCGAGGGTGGACCAACATCGACGCCCTGAAATAATTTGTTTGTCTCGATCTCCCGGGGTGCGGGTTGCGGTGGGGGGTTTCTGTTTTGCAGGAGGCAGCCTTCCCACTGAGGGTGGACGCACTGCAGCTCTGCAGCCCGGCGTTACGCGAGCGGCTGGGGCCCGGCAGGAGGCGCCTCCAGGAGATGGAACGCAGACGCCGCAAGCACGGCGAGCAGGTGCCGTAACTATCACCACGTGACAATGTCATTTGTTGGCCTAGGTCGGGTGGTGGAGGGGTCTGACGATAGAAATTTGGCCGCATCGTGATGTGGCCTCACCCAAAAGTTAACTGATTATGATTCGGAAAGGAGAGCATACGACATCAAGGCGACTAGAATCGGTGTATGAATCTGGATACAGACATTAGATGTACAAAGTGGGGCGCCACGCAATGTGTTTGAATCTAAAGCGCGTGTCCTTGATTTTTACTCAATTCTCGTTCTGCTCCGTGGATTCCTTCAGGACAGCTCCTGGGGCAGCACGGCCTCGAATGACGACGACGATGATGAGGATTACGATGGCTCCTTTGATGACGGTGAGTGACGCGCTGTATATCTGATCGTCACATGTTGTTGTTGTGAGAATTGTTCTTCAACTCACCAAGTGAGCGGTCTTGCCACACAAATTTGGCCAAATCATTAGTGTGCATGGCCTGGCACGAAAAAAAACAATCATCAATCGTAATATTTGTATGCGGAAACGACCTACTTCGTGTTATTATTATTATTATAGCGAATGTTTTCCGTTCCAATTTTCAGACGTGGGCTCCAACAACAGCGGCTGCTACGACCTCCGCGCGGTCGTATCGTGGACGAGGCCCCGTTGGGAGGAGGATGGGGGTGGCCATTATGTGTCCTGGCTGCACTGGGATGCAGGTAAACGGGGGAAGTGGGTTGGGGCAAGTGGGGTGGGGGAAAGGCGGTGGGGGAAGTGGGGTGGGGGAAGTGGGGGGTGGGGGGGACTCTATTCTGTGCAGGTGAGGAAGCCTGGGAATGAATCCGAGTTTCAGCAACTCCCTCCCATTGCTACACTGGTTTATCAAGGTTGGCGAGTCTAAGCTAAACTATTTTAGTTTTACCAGGTAAGGCCCACTGAGCTATATAGCTTATTTTCAGAAGCGACCTGGCTATCAAAAATGAAATTTATAGCGGCCAAATACCCTAAATGCATGTTGATTATACATGTGGAGGGAAACCCCGGAGAAAGATTCACGCGACCACGGGGAGAACACGCAAACTCCAGATATACAGCAGGAGTCAGGGTTGGGATCAAACCCACGACCTCCTGTATACCCCAACGTGTTTCCCCGTCTGCCGCCAGGCCACTGGTGGAAATGCGACGACGAGATTGTGACGAGGGTGACCTCCGAAGAGGTCCTGTCGCTGCGCGCCGGACGAGGAGGAGGTGGTGGCGACGCGGCGTGCTTGCTGCTGTACGGCCCGCCGGGGTCAGCCTCGTCGGGGTCATCCTCGCCGGGGTCAGCCTTGCCGGGGTCATCCTCGCCGGGGTCATCTTTGCCGGAGTCAGCCTCGCCGGGGTCATCCTCGCCGGGGTCATCCTCGCCGGGGTCAGCCTCGTCGGGGTCCGGCCCGCCGGGGTCAGCTTCGTTGGGGTCAGCCTCGCCGGGGTCAGCCTCATCGGGGTCCGGCTCCGACTCGTCGCTCGCGTAGCCCCCTCGAGCCATGTGGGTTAAGCCGCTCGGGCAAAGCTTCTCACCGCGTCTCCCCGAACCCCCGTTTCACTGCTCGCGGACTGCCTGGAGTGGTTGGTTGGTGTAAGTTGGGGATGGGTGACACGTGTGACACGTCTTACACGTGTCACACGTGTAATACGTGTAACACGTGTTACACGTGTATGTGTCGTGGGGGAGCGGTGGTGCAGCGCTTAGCACAGCACGCCGACGAACAAGGCCACCCGAGTTTCGATTCCCGCTCACGGCCACCAACAGCAGCGATGATTATCTGAAACGGTCCTGGACCTCCCCTAGTGCGACTCAGCCTCAAATGAGTACCTGGTACGGTGTGTAAACATCGCCACTCAGGAGACAAACACGGCGTGGTGTTGCCCCCCCCCTCTCGTGGCGTGTCAGCCTTCATAGATGCTCGCTAACAGCACTTGCCCCAAAAGTCTGCTAACAGCTATATGGGGGATCTTTGTCCTTGCCTTGTGTGTACCTGGCTAGGAATGCGCGTGGTTGTATCGTGTGGGATGTTAATGAGCACGAAGCACCCTCCCACCAGCTGACGCGGCCTAACGAGAATACGATCCGCTGCCTGCACAAATGTGCCAATGTGTTTTTGATTTGTATTTCAGTACCGCTATTTATTATCCTGTTTGCAGCGAGTTGTGGTGTGGGTTTCATATTATTTGTTAGTTTGCACATTCCCTCTACCCTGCGATGTTCTGTAACTACCACCACTGCCGACGCTTCTTGGGCTGCTATATGCAACTATGGGTTTCAATGTAACTCTATGGATATCTCTGTAACTCTATGGATTTATAGCCAACTCTATGTAACTCCGACGTCCTCTAACCTGCCGACGCTCTTGGGCAGTGGCTCTCCCTGGAAAAAAAGAGCTGCTTAGCTCATTGGTGAACTTCTTTTGCACCGTACATTGCCAACGATACAAGGCGGCCTAGCCCAGCTGAAAAGATTAAAGTCTGAGTGTGTATCACTGCAAGGGGCCTCTTGTTGCGGCAGAAGTAACTGTGCGTGTCTTTGTGAAAAGATGGCCCGCTACCACAGTTATTGAGAAGCCCTATTTGGTCCCTGGGAAGGCAAATGTGCCCCACCCCTGACGCAGACGATGGGCACACGGCTCGCGAACATGCTTTACACGATGGCTTTTATTCAGGAAATCCAAATTACGAAGACCTGCAATTCACGTTTGATTTTATTGATTAACTTCAAGTTTGTGCACACTGACCAACGATCCGGAAATTAAGGCATTTTTCTCTCTTTGACAAGTGTTCGTCCAAATCCCAAGCCGACGGGTAAAAATTATCTCTGATCGCGTCGAACATAAACATGCACGCGAGAAGAGAAGGCCAAACAGAAAGCAGTCCAGTAAATCACCAACTTGAAAATCTATCTCAACGTGTAAAAAAAAAATACCCAAAACGATGTAACGATTGTAAATTACCGCATGAACGTCGCTTTAAATAAATCTCATTTAAACACAGGGAAATGTTTCCAGAAAGCACATTTGGCATCTGACGGCCAGTTTCCTGTGGTCTGAGTATAAAATGGGACCCACTTGATTATGCCCTTATTTTGGCTAAATACCAGCTGCGAGATTCAAAATATCAGTTTGAGTGCCATGCAAAGAACATTTGTCTGCAGCTGGGCAGGCGGGACGATGCAGTCTCCTAGTGTGTGCACCACAGGCCACTTGAAGGATTCTCCGAGGTAGCTCTGCGGGATCCTCTTCCGCGGGCTGTCGACTAAACAGTCCGGTTTGTATCGCTCTACGAGAGTTCCACGTGGATTATTTATCTCATTACATGATGCTGCAACAGGGTGGGCAACATGACAAAATAGAAAATGTAAAAAAAAACACCCCATAGGCTTGCCAAAGCAGTGCAGACATCATGCGAGCAGCTTCGGGAATTCGATGGGCACGCTTGGCGAATTTCTACAAGCGCGCCTCTCACAACGAACGTTTCCGGGTCACTGGTAGACCAGCTGGCAACGTTGACTAGCCCCAGCCACACGTATACTGGGCATGCTGTGCCAAGTGCAGAATACATTTTCCAGCTCGCTGACCTGGATAGACCCGGAATGAAATACAAGCCCTAGGTACGACAGCACTAACCTTGTTTGGCACATTAATGGAAGTGTCAAGAATGTGTTTCTGTTATGCTGATACACGTACAAAACAAGGGGGTGAATTAGTTCAATGCTAGGAAGGGGGCTAAATGGTTCAGTGCTAGGAAGGTCGTGAATGAAAATGCAATCCCAAAAACAAATGGCTCGTGTGGATATATTCCTAGGCAGGGTGTCCAAGGGCGTTACGACTCAACGTTGAGGCTTTAATAACAAGCAAAAATGCTTTACAGTTATCGTCAAGCACATGATTATGGTAATCCAGCGATATCACTGGCATATGCTGTTAGATCAACGCGTGCGAAACGTCACCGACAGCAAGGGTTTAAATTATCACGTGATATTTTCTAGCTCGCTGGTAAACTGGAGTAGAGGCACGTGACCAGTAGCAGCCTCAGCCGGAGTGCGAGGTAATGAACGAAGCTTCACACTAGCGTGGGACGAACAGAGGCAAGGGGTGTGTAGTCAGTAGATAACAGCTGCTCAGTTATATGGGTCGAGGTGTATTTTGAGTTCAGATGAAACCATTAACAACAAAAATTACCAGGTAAGGCCCACCGAGTTATGTAGCTCATTTCAAACCTGACCTAGCAGCAAATGTTTGCCCAACTGGCTTATCGTGTGGAAATTTGTGAAAGTCAAATCCTCTAAAACGCATGTTTCTAAAAGTGGAGGGAAAAACCGGAGGACCAGGAAAAAAACCACGCGATCACGGGGAGTACATGCAAACTCCAAATATACAGGTGTCAGGGTCAAGACTGAACCCAAAACCTCCTGCATACATGGCGAGGTAGTGAACAATTCACCCCCCACGGGTGCCCCAGTTGCTGAGCCCTTTCCACCACATGAGTAAACCGCAGTGTCACCGTGAGGCAGGCAAGCGCGTGCGCTAACCCTCCTTCCTGATAATGTCCCACACGCTTCCGGTTGCAGCACTCCTGGAAGTCACATGAACTCGTCGGAGTCGTTTCCATCCTGGACAGAAGGAGAAACAAAAACATCAACCCTGCCTCACTCACACAGCACCAGGGCTCAAACTCCAGCCCCCATGCTTCAATGCTGTCCACCTTGTCATGCCCACTAACCAGCCACGATCCACCTGGCACCAGCGAACAAGCCGATTTCATCGCTCCATCTCTGCGGTGGACGTACCTGTCTCGCATGTTTGCTCCTCTGGTTAGTCTTGACCACTGGCCTATCATCCCTTCTCGCGATGTGGCCTAGCCAAGGCCGCTCTTTCGACGGCCGATATGATGTGTCTAAACTTGCGTCATGTTCCCCAAATCCTTTGCGTTCCACCTCTCCATGCTGCTTTGCAAAATATTCAGCTTTTTTAGGGTAAATAATGGTACAATATATTAATCTCCCCTGCAATACTATTCACAAATGCACGCTTTTTCAAAGCGTTCCAACTCGGGTTGAAAGCACGACGCATTGGCGGCTGTCCTCACGTTTATCTGTGTCACAGCGCGGTCACAATAACTCTTGTAAAGATGCCCAAATATTAATAAAAATGTTATTTAAAGTAAAAATTCGTGTTACTATGACCGAAATACTCAATAGAAAAATCAAGAAAACTGCTGAAAGTGATACCTAAAACTAAGCGATAATAAAGCAGTGAAATTGGAGTGAGCATTCCGGCCAAGAAGATGATGTCACACACCATGCTCGCGTCTTCAAGACATGCATTCCAAGTGATTTAGGAAAAAAAGGCGTATGGCTCATCTTGCAATACAATAACAAGACTGACGTCGCAGTTGATGCCTGCACTTGCTCTCATCACAGAACGGTTCGTTACCTGGTTTGAGGTCATGTTCTCTTCTTTCATGAGTGCCGAGTAGCTCCTGAAAAAAAACAATCAGCGGCGTGTCAACAACAGGTGCTGTACAGCAATAACCACAAATATTACTTCCCCCATCAATCCATGCTGTTGACTTCCTGTCACGTTCAAGTCTGGGCTCAAGTATTTTCTCCCCTGCCTATGACTGCCCCTCTCTCGACACAACATGCCCAGTTTCTGTACAGCGCCTCGAGATGCGGGGGCATATAGAAGCTTCTTAAGTCCACATTGTGGTACAGATGTTGGGTGGAGTGGCGGCACAGTGGTTCGCTGCACTGCGAGTGAATTGGCGACCTTTCACTCCCTGCCACGGATAAACTTAAGTAGCTCGTGATATCCTAACTGGTCCTGGGTCGCCCCCCTTCATCAACCTGCACTGACTGGCATGGTGAAGTATGATCAAACAATCCCGATGACTGTCACGGTTGCAGGAGTCTGCATCCAGCAGTGGATTGACAGCAGTAAATTATTAACGTTTTACAACGAAGGTTGAAAGTAATTTTGCGTTAGCTATGTCCGTCTGCCTGTAGATGAGGCATGATAACTGTCATAAAGAGAATCCAATATGAACTCAATTTTAGTCAAAAGCTGTGTCGATATTAGGGGCTCACAATTCTGATCAAATTGATCAAAACAGTTGCCTAAAATGTAGTTATAAATATTAGGGTTAAAGGAATAATCCACGGGAGCAAAATGCTATGACGTAATTGCGTGCGACGCCATCGCCCTACGTCATGTCGTGTGATGCCACCTTGCTGTGTGGTTCGGAAAATACCATCATCCGTCACCATCATTACCAACCAACTGAAAACTTCCGACGAGGTCAATCGGACAATCTAAAAGGGTTTATGGAATCCATGGACGTGCGCGATTTGTATTCCTTGCAAATCGTATCGGGAGGGTGTCAGCTGTGGTACCGCAGCTCCTCCTGCTCCCTCTTCCTCCTCGTCTCTTCCTTCTCGTTGCGCTTCTGCTCCTGGAGTTGGGCCTTCTTCTCGCCGCGCTCCTCACGGTCCCTATCCTCGCGCTCGCTCGCCAGGTCCGGGAGCCGTTCATCCCGCGTGCGGTTCAGCCGGTTCATGATCTCGTTCACGCGCTTCTCCACGGTCACCGACCTCACCTGCCACACATCATCATCAACGTCGTAAGCGTCGTCGTCATTGTCCTGTACATGGGCACCTGATATCCATATTGTCTTGGATCGGGCACAACAGAATCGGTGCGTAGATATGGGCGTGAAGGCACGCTGACGTGGCGCCGTGCTGGCACGTGCGCCACCCCTACCGCACGTGACAGCCGTGCACATTGATGAGGAGTGTCCCTTACGACGGCCTGAAGGTGCGGTGAGAAGGCTGGGTGAACTAGACGAAGTTAGGGATGATCAAGTAGTTGAGCGACTTGGATAGTGACCTTTTACATCAATAGCAAGAAGATCATCACTGTCATCATCACTATCTAGACCAATGTGCATTGTGGGTAACAATGCGGCATTGGCACGGGGTTGGTGGCTGTTGCCAATAACGATATTGATGACTTTATGACAATAATGCTGATTATCATGACACTGAAACCCGAGAAGGGTTAATGAGGATCACAATGATGAGTCTTGATCGGTGTTTCTCAACTACCATTCAAGCGATCACCCATGATACAGCTTGCAGATAGCACCAAAGACAAAGTTCACCCATATAGCCTTAACATACTTTTGGGGCGAGTGCTGTTAGCGAGCACCTATGAAGACCGCCATGGCACACTCGGGCATCGGTGGCCAGCACCACGCCTGTCCGCCTTCGTCTTCCCAGTGGCGATGTTTACTACACACCGCACAAGGTACTCATTTGATGCCGAGTCGAACTAGGGGAGGCCCAGGACTCATTCAGATAATCGCCACTGGTGTTGACTGTGAGCGGGAATCGAACTGGAGTTGCCGAGTTCGTAGTGCAGCGCGCTAACCGCTACACTACTGCTACCTTTAGATAGCACCACAAAGACAAAGATCCCCCGTATAGCCTTAACAGACTATAGATAGCGCCACGTACTCACACACGCACTCACCTCCTTCTGCTTATGGAAGCCAACTTGCCCCACGTCCATGTCTGCCGTCTTCTTCAGGTTGCCCCAGGGCGTATAGACCACGGCGATGTTGTTCATTTTATTCCCTGCAACCACGGAGCGCCCGGGTTCATTCATTTAATCAGTTGTCCTTCCCCACACTTCCAATTAGCACGGTTGGCTACGTACGGTGCGAAAGAAGTTCAACATACATACGTACATCTATCCACTGCTGCTCCATCTCCCGTGTAGTGTTAGGGTGCCTTAAATTATCTCGCTCTCTTTATTGGCCACTCACCCTGGATGCTGTTGGCCTTCACGAGCTGAGCACAATCGATGAGCACTTCCGTGGGGATGTCATCCATGGTCTGACCCTGTGAGGGAGCAAGGGACAAAGCAATGTTCACAAAGTGCAGTGGTGCCTTGATGCATGAGCGTGGATTTATATCCCACCTCAGTTACGGACTCGGTCTATAAGACTGTTTCGTCTCACCCACAATGGGTGGTCAACCACCACAAACCACACTGCAGGTCACACTCTCACTAACACACTCACCCACTCACCACACTGCAGGTCACAACACTTCTCTCTCTGCTTCTTCTCTAACACTGCTCCACTTTGAAATTTCTATCGGCGTCTCTTTTCCCCAAGCTCTTATTATAATAACCAAGTTAAATTCAAGCAACGTGAATTGAACTTGCTGGCCACTTGATGTTTTGAGCCTTTTTTAAGCCTTTGGGCCTGTGGTTAGAAAATGTACTTTAAAAAATATGGCAAATAGGTTCCCACTTTGTAAGATAGGATTTTGTACATCCGGCCGGTCAACGCGATGGTGCGTCTTGGTTTTAATATCTTATCTTATTTTAACCCTAGTTTTCGTTTTATGTTTTACCGTTGTGTGCTCGGTCACTGCGGCTCATCTCTAACCTCTGCAGGCAACGTCGCCCCGCAGCACCTCAAATGACCTTCTGCTATAGATTATCTTTACTTTTAAGAGGGAAACCATTTCAAATTAGTTTTTTTTTTAATATCTCACCTTCTGCAGGCGTAGATACACGTGTGCTGAAGACAGCTTGTCCACGTGAAACCTGCGGTGCGGCAAATCAAGTGAAAAAGCGGAACTCCTAATCAAATGTAGTTACCATAATCGCGTGTGTGCATTTTGTTGTTGAATCCGAAAGCCACTTTCAAGTACGACACTGTGATATATTTGGTAAAATTATATTTTTATAACTTTACAAAAATAAAGTTACGACGAAAATGGGAGTGTTAAACACCTTCATGTGTTCTTACCAAACATCTTCAGGCCAGCCGTATTTAATAAGCTCCTCATCTGTGGCAGAAAAGGATTTGAAACTGTAAATTAACCTGTATAAGATGTGAAAATACAATACGTGAAATAATACAATTGCAGTCTCTTGTCAGTACAATTATAATAATGTAAACGTGTAACACGCACACTATTCACTCAGTCTCAAAGAGGGAGAACTACTCAAGTGGTGCGAGGAACCATACAAGTCGGCCGGCAGCAATGCGGCGATCCAGAGCCAACACAATTTCCCAAGCTCTACAGTCCTCTATATATACGAGGTGTTATCGATCAATTCACGAGTGTTTACATGATGGCTGAAGGTTTCCCCGCGTTGGTCATGGGGGTTGACTAAACTTCACCATGCTGGTCAGTCCGGGTTCGTGTAAGGGGGAGCCCAGGAACGTTGTTTCGGACTCCACTCACGACCAATGTTGGCCGTGGGTAGGAATTGAATTAAGGTTGCTGGGTTCATAAAAAGGGTCCCACTCTCTCGATTGTTGAGTCATTCTCTCGAGTAGACGCATCTGCCTTTGGTAGTTACTACACCTTTGGAATTTTTCGGGCGTTCCAATGCTCTTGCCGGAACACAACTCGCGATACCAACTGAATCTGATGGTGGGTGGCACACAAAAAAGAAACGAGCTTAACATCCCCGGGAAGGACAGCTCTCAGGCTGAACAGGGATGGCCACAGATACTCACTTTCGTACTTGTCCTTGCCCACGTAGATCGTGTATGGTGTCGAGCCAACTGTGAACAAAGGTAAGTTATGGGGTAATTCATGTACGCATTACTTTTCTTGTTTAGTTATTTTTCGACCAGTCTTATTATGATGGTGCTGTGGATGCAATGTGATGAGAAGAAGCAACAATTTGGAACTCGCAAAGCAGTGCATCCCCTCCTACTACTAGAAAATGGCATGCAAAAGCGGTTACCACAGAACTATTTTGAGATGTCTTCAAATTATCTCCAGTCCACACATTAGCGGGCAGCACTTCTCTACCTGCCCTGCTACGGAGGGTAATACTTCAAACAACACACACAGCCGTGTAAAAAAATCACACAGCCTCTGTGCATATGCTAACACAACAATTGGCACGGGCTTAAGAAGTGCATTGTGATCTTCTTGTGAGCAAATGTCATCGACTGTCAGAAGCCGCGATGCAGAGACAATTGTGGACCAGTTTCGTCCGTATGAAGACTCATCAGCACGGTAGAGTCACCAATGCTCGCTGCCGCAGACCCCGTGCCTCTGTTAAACCATACAGGGAAATGTTCCAATGGTGAGTGCGAGTGTGTGAATTGCAGTGTTTGGTAGCTCAGCACTGTGTGAATGAGACGCGAGTGTTGGTGATTGTTAGGGCGATTAGCTCACAACCCCGAATCTATGTAAACAAAAACGACCGAATGGGGGCTACCGTCCTCGATTAGGACTATTTCTGCATCGTCTGCCTTCAATCTTACACAACACTGTAATGCTGAAATTACTGTACCGTGCAGAATACAGTACATACTGTACTACAGTACGAGTCTTACATTAGTATTTACAGCACCGTTACAGCGAATTGTCTTTTACAAAACTACCTCTGCGTGATCGCCGTGTCATTAACCTCATTGTCACTGCTGTTACAAGATATGTTATTAGTCATTTAGCTTCGTATTGATTTGGACACCACTAAGCGTGACACAGCCTAATCGAGCAGGCCGCACGTACCGTTACTCACGAAATAAAACACCATCGCGACGCTCCTCCCCCCCGTTACCCTCGACACACGATCCCAATGTTGAACTCCCACGGAGATACTAAATAATATTCACGCTGTTCGGACGACAAATCTTTATTCACAGCTCGCAAACTAAATGACGTCTCTCATTCACAAACTCGGCGGCCGCGACACGCGAACTGGAATTCCCACTACGCACCGGCCACCCTCGATGCCGAATTGCGCGGGTGGGGGGGGGGTGTGGCTGCGACTCGTCACGTGACGGGCTAATAACGCACTGTGATTGGTCAGAGCCCTCCCCCCCCCTCCCTACTACCGCATTGACCAATGACGGCAAGAACATTGGCCAATGGACCCTTATCCGTGTTGTAAAATCTAATTATGTTATTGGCTCCTTCTGAAACTCTCAATGAACACGTGGTCCTGCTGCGGAGGGAGATGGTAGCAACGTGTTGGGTTGCTCGGTCAATGGCCTGCAGGGTCAACGGCGGCGTGGTGTATTCCGCAAATATGGCCCACTGTGAGGGCGGGCACAAGCCGGCGTGAGTAGGTTAAACGTTGAGTTTTATAAGGGTACCACGGGGTGACCAGTCCCTCCCCACCCAGCCCCACCCCTCCCACCCCCCACCCAGCCCCTCCCTCCCCCACCCAGCCCCTCCCTCCCCACCCAGCTCCTCCCTGCACGACGGACGGACGGACACAATAATCCCCTGTGGGCTGGTGTAACCAGGAGGTTCCTACCAGTAATATTTGTTTTGTGTGTGTACAGGGATAGTTTTGTGAAATAAAACATTATCTGCTTGTGTATTCTGTTAGTTATATAGCCCACACGCTTATTGTGATGTGATGCTTTCCTTCGTGGATTAATCACGGAACACATTTGGAAAATGAATCCCCTGTTAATTGGAATTGCATGGCCTTGTGTGAGTCTACCTTGTACAGCAAAGAGACAGCTGCCACTCGGGGTGCCCCAGGCGAGACCGCAAATGAATCATGGCCCCCTACTGACAGATTCACGTCTGTGCAGGTCGGGTGCTGAGTCACCTTGTGCCGGGCGCAGTGACGTCTGCCACGGGGGGTGCCCTATATGATTGTGTTGAGATGAGATGTGTGTGAAGGAATACAGACGCTGCACTGCCATGAAGTATGGCCACTCTATCAAAAACAGTAAAGTATGTACGAATCGAAAGTCAACGATTCTTCAAAAACAAGTCAGAAGTAACAAATATGAATCGATAATAATCGATCAATGCATGTAAGATTCGATACATCAATCGTGAGAACAAAAATCTATTACTCGTGATATACCGGCTTCAAAGATCAGTGCATGCAATGTATAAATAGGTGCATTAGTTTATATATTTAAGTGATTGATAGGTGAGGGAATTCATGAATTGATGGTTGAATGAATGAGTAGATTCTTAATTGGTGTGTAAATAAATAAGGCAGTTCATGAAATAATTAGTGATTTCCTCATTTGTAAATTGAACGGGAATGTGGGTGGATGAGTGGCTTAATTGGCGAACAGGTTTGTAAATTAATACATTGATTGATTGTGAACGCATAAGTACATTTAATAATTTAATGAGCCGTTCATGGATTAATCATTTCATGAGTGAATCAATCAGTTAATTGACTATTACATTTATGTGTGTAATTGATTACATCGATTACATTCGTAAACGGACGAGGGAATCAATTTAATTAATAGATGGGGTGAATAGATGGTATGAATGTATGGTAAGAATGAATGGAATGAATCGAAGGTATGAGCGCCTTGACCATTCAGCAAACGATTTGGAGTCGGCACCACCCAGCCAGGGAAGAGGCTTACGACTTGCCGTGTGATTGCAGCTATGAAGCCATCCCCACCCGCAGCCCCAATCAGCCGCCGCCCTCCCAGAGGAGATGGCCAAGAGCGGCAGGGAGGTTTTAATTGAGTCACCACCCCGTGAGATCCACCGCCGACCGCTCCGCGTAGGGCACGTTCAAGGTGTGCCCGATCAATTAATCAATATCTTAATTTATGAAATCAGGTGTGGCCCTGTCGAGATTGCGTGTCTCTTTAAAGTGTGGTCGTCTGGGTCACTGTTAAGTTGTGGGGGTGGGGTGGGGGGATTGCATTATTGTTTATTTGTGAATTTAATATTTGAAGCGTGAGTGTTTAATTGCCATTGTTTTATTGACTCGTTCTCTCACACAGGGTGGTGGTGGTGCACAGTTGGCTCCGTGAGTTCCCAATTAAAATTCGCTGGGCTCACGACATGGGAGGCCCATATAACATTCGCGAGTTAACCGATGGCTGAATTACAATATTGTTCAAAGCATCATCATATTGATGAATTGAAACGTGATGTTCCTATTGCTATCATCATCATCTTCACGATCACGCTGCTATACATACACTGAAATATGCTTCCAATTCGCGAGTCAAGCGTCGTACTAAGGACAGCCCCTCCTTCTCTCCACGGTCGTCGTGCCGGCCTTTGTTGCTTGCGAGAACCATCCCACTCATTATTTGCGCGCAACCCACGAGCACGGCCCTGACACAGCACGCGGCAGTGGCAACGCCAAGTTCACTTGCACATGTGGCACTCGTACAATGTGTGTCAGTGTGCCAGGGAGCCTCCGCTTACATTTACTCCCGCGCGCGTTTAGACGACGCACGACGGTCATCCTTTCCGACAATCGCCCCGCCAGCTCACAATCATCCTTTGTGTCCATATCGTGTATCGTGAGTGCTGCCTGTAAGCGAGATCACAAGTCTGAATGCGTTATCGTGGGTGGGGGTGGGGTGAGTTGGATGTGGGTGTGGTGAGCGGGGGTGGGATTTTGGAAACATGACAGATTTGAATGTGTTTGATTATATCGGTGGATGGGGCGATGGTTGGATAGGTGAATTGGTGGTTGGATAGGTGGGTGGGGAGAAGTGTGGTTTAGTGAGTAGGTGATTGGGTGAGTGGTTGGGTGAGTGGTTGACTTGGGTGATTGATTGGATGGGTGAGCTGGTAGTAACAGATTTTACAGGTCCTAATGTATAATTGTGGCTGGGTGGATGGTGACTTGGCGTATTGGGTGGAAGGGTGGTTTCGCTGGGTTGATGAGTGAGTGGCTGGGTGGTTAGCTGGGTGGTTGAATGGCTGGATGAGTGTCTGGCTTTGCGGTGGAGAGTAGCTGGGTGGGTGGGGGAGCGGCGGTGTCAGGGAGGGTTGGGGCGGCCGCTGGTTGGCTGTTGACGCATGATACAGCAGTAGCAGGAGCAGCAGCAGCAGGAGCAGCATTAGCAGCGGGCAGCCCTCTGTAGAGCGCGTCTCCATGCACGCAGCTGCTGCAGACAACGAGAGGCAACAACAGCAGCAGCAACAACAGCAGCAGCAGACAGCTTTCATTTGTAGCGAAATGGGCCCCTTCACGGACATCAAGGTAAGATCCACCCACACATTCTGCCAGCCACAAATAATCCCGTACGCTCATTGATGCAGGCAGGCTGTGTCTATCTGCAGCTTTGTCTCTCCGCAGCTTTGTCTCTCCGCTATTCTACGTCTCCGTGTCTTTACTGTCTGGGTACCTGTCTCTGTGCCTGCTCTCTCCGGGTCTCTCTGCCTCTACGTCTGCCCGTGTCATTTTTCTCTCAGTCATTCTGTGTTGTCTGTCTGTGTGCGTGCGTGTGTGTCTCTGTCTCGTTGGCTGCTCGTGACTGTCACCGCCTCCGTCCATCTCTGACCGTGTCTCTGTGTCCTTGTCTGTTTCTCTGTCCACCACCACGCGATCTATCCGTGCGCATCACGGAGGCCTGCGGCGGGGAATGATGGTGCAAAGCTGGGACGACGATTCGTGCGGTGCTGTAATGATGTCATGCGCGCGCGTGTGTGTGAGTTTGTCGGTGTGACACTCAATATCGCGGTGATTTCACGATTGCCTATCGTCATCATCGTTAGCCATGATCGATCCGCTGCTGGATTAAGGCCGCCTCCCCAAGCTGTCGCCATCCATCACGATCCTGCGATGCGACGATCAAACCGGCATCTGCACGCGAGCCGATCCCATCGCTCCGTCTCCGCGGAGGACGTTCTCTTTGGCACGTTCCCCCCTTTGGCTGCTAGTGCTTCGCGTCGTGTTGCTTGTAATCATAACCACAATCGGACAGGTTCAATCCACTGCTGAGTTAACCTCCACCACCACCGAGCCGTGGTCGTCGCCCACGACCTTGCGATGTAACAATCCACCCGGCACCTGGTCACGAGATGATGTCATAGCTCCATCTCCTATGCGAAGGCACGTCCATACATACTGTACACAAATATGTTTGAAATAAATGATGAGGCTAATTTACAGCCTTCTGCCGATCCACAGAAGGCTGTAAAAAACGAACGTGTAGAGAGATTAAAATTAACGTAGGTGGTAGAGCGGTGGCGCAGTAGTTAGCACACTGCGCTATAAACCCTGTGAACTGAGATCGATTCCCGGCCACGGCTAACATCAATGGCGCACGATATCTGAACCGGTCCTTGATCCCCACGCTTCATCGACTCGCACTGACCACCGTGGGGAAGTATGGTCACACATCTCCCATGGCGTCAAAGGGCATTCATCCAGCAATTGATGAGAACAGGACTTCACATTATTATTAAAGAAACAGACAAACATAACGTTAATTATTCTTGGTTCTTTCGATAAAGTCACGTAGAAGGTAAATAATAAAATAAAATAAATATTGCTTTTATATATTTTTTCTTTTATTATTTCCCTTCTACGTGACTTTATCGAAAGAACCAAGAATATGAATCCCTGCAGTCACGAAAGCTTTAAATCAACATTTATGACGTTAATTATCAAGAATACATCATTAACATTTTAGTGCATCGGCACGTGTTGGTGATGTTGTTTGCTGACAATCCTTGGACCGGTTTCGACTTATCTGAATCATCAGCAGGGTTGGTGCCTTGAAACCAAGGTGATATGGGCTTGCTGGTTGTAGCGGGACCCGGTGGGTCTGTACTGCGTGCATATTAACAATGACCTACATTCACATTTAAATAATTTGGTGATGCTGCGTTGGCGCAGAAGCACAAACCACAACGACACAAACTCAACACATCCGTCAAAGGCCCTTCCTAAAGATATGAGGCGACGCTTCGGGCAATGTGCCTTGTTAATGAGACACATTATTGAGATACATTACCTCAATATAAACACTCGTAAAGAATTGTCAGGGTCATCATAGCTAGCAGGAACAGGAGGACATCCATCAGCATGTCAATAAAGATAAACTCAGGGATATTATCATAATTTATATAATCATATGTAATAATCATCTATAATAATCGTCAACCCATCATCATCACCACCATGGTCGTCAGTAACACATCATCAGCAGTCGTGCGAGGGCCACTGAAATATTCCTGGAGGCTCGATGCAAAATACTAGGATGAGACCCCGGGTGAGGATTCCTCGGATCTGATGCTCGAGTAAATTGGCTCCACCTGTGTGAGCTCGTGTGTGTGTGTGTTGGCTCGTGTGTCTGTGTCCGTGTGTGAGCGTGTGTGTCTGTGTATGTCTGTGTGAGCTCGTCTGTCTGTGTGAGCACCTGTGTGTGTGTCTGTGTGAGCACCTGTGTCTGTGTGTGTCTGTGTGTGCTCGGCTGTCTGTGTCTGTCTGTATGTGTCCGTGTGTGTCTGTGTGAGCGCATGTGTCTGTGTGTGTGAGCGCCTGTGTGTGTGTGTGTGTCTGTGTGAGCGCGTGTGTCTGTGTGTGTCCGTGTGTGTCCGTGTGTGAGCGTGTGTGAGCGTGTGTGTCTGTGTGTGTCCGTGTATGTATTTTTGTGTATGGGTGTATGTGTGCGAAAAGGTCTCTAAGGTGCAGGTTAGAGTACAGGGCAGATAGACAGCGAGTGATGGCTGTTCAGCAGTCTTATGGCCTGATGGTAGAAGCTGTTTCGGAATCTGTTGGTCCGAGATCCGATGCTCCTGTACCATCTACCAGACGGTAGCAGAGTGAACAGTCCGTGGCTTTTAATTGAATGGGGGCATCACGAATACAGCAACTAAGGCGTCATAATCGGCAGCAAGATCATCATCAGCAGCAACTTCAATGTTAATCATCATATCATGCTCATCGACGGCAGAAACTAAATGATCGTCATCGGCTGAGTAAATTATCATCACTTATGAAATGAATGTCGGTAACTCACCACGGGCCTCGTTAGCGAGGCAATGAGCCTCTGATAGGGATGCGAGATTGCGCGGAGCGGGAGGGATGAGTGACGGTGCCAGGGCTGGGTGGCAGTGGGGGTTGAGGGGGAGACGGGGGGCGCTGCGCTGGGTCGTGTTCACATGGGAGGGAGAGGGGACCCAGTGCTCACGCGTTGCCACCGCCCCAACCACTCGCTTCATGTTGGAGGCGGCCTATGGGACGTCCAGGATAAGTGTCGATTCTTGCGACCGATATCAGCCAGAGAGAACGACAGAGACGCACAGACATGATCCCTCATGGAAGCCTTCGATCCGTGACGCCTACTCCACTAGACCAACCCCCCCATCTACTCTCCTTTGCCCCCCGCCCCCCACCAACTACGCCCAGGGCCAGAAGTCCCAGTCGCGATCTTGTGCTGGGTCATCGCGGAGCCGCATTCCTCGCCTGGTTTCCCGGCACAGCCCTGATGGTCCTGATGAGGGAGGGGGCACGGCCACAGCCTCCTCCACCCCGGCCACACCGTCCACCCCGTCCACCCCGGCCACCCCGGCCACACCGGCCCAGGTCCCGGGTCTCCCCGGGCCACCGGAGCGCTCGCGGCGCCGAGAGCAGCGCAGCGGCTCCTCCCAGTCCGGTGAGCGCCGGTGGCTTCAGCGGTGGCGTGGATATCGAGTGTGCAGGCTGTGCAACTGCGCCGAGTTCCACGGACTGGAGGGGGGTGGGGTGGGGGTGCTGGGCTACAAAGAGGATGAATCCCCCCCCCCCCTATCCTCCTCCCTCTTTCCCTCCTCCCTTCCGTGGGCTCCGGTGACGAATTGGATAGGGGACCACCTTTAATTCCGAGCGCCGAGGGCTCATGCCAACCACACCCCTACGCAGGAGGCGTGTAAACAAATTGGCACGGATCGCCCGTGCAGACGGACCGGGTGCCGATCGGGAGCATCGATTAAGAGGCGCCGGAGAGCAGCGGCAAGCCCGTCGCCTCCACCGAGACGGTGCCAGACCACGGCACGAGCATGACGACAGCAGAGGCTGCCAGGCGCTTCAGCCGGGACTGTGCTGCGCCATGCTCCGCGAGCAGCCTCGCTCCCTCACTCGCTCACGTGACCGTCGCCTGCCCTCCACGTGGGTGGCGCTTCGACGTAGGGCGCCGCGGTCGCTGCAGGGCGCTGCCTGCGAAATGGTTCCGCGACTGTGATGATTGTTGTCTTGTCTGAAGCTGACGGGAACGAATGCTGGTCCCGGTTCAACGTTGGTACCGCCACCTCAAGGGGGAGAACAGGGGGGGAGAACGGGGGGGAGAACAGAGGGGGGGGGGGGAGAACAGAGGGGGGGGGGGGGAGAACAGAGGGGGGGGGGGGGGGAGAACAGAGGGGGGGGGGGGGAGAACAGAGGGGGGGGGGGAGAACAGAGGGGGGGGGGGGAGAACAGAGGGGGGGGGGGAGAACAGGGGGGGGGGGAGAAGAGAGGGGGGCAGAACAGAGGGGGGGGAAACAGGGGGGGGGGAGATACAGAGGGGGGCGGGGAGGTACAGAGGGGGGAGGGAGAACAGAGGGGGGGGGGGAGAACAGAGGAGGGGAGGGAGAACAGAGGAGGGGGGGGGGAGAACAGAGGAGGGGGGGGGGAGAACGGAGGGGGGGGGAGAACGGAGGGGGGGGGGGAGAACGGAGGAGGGGGGAGAACGGAGGGGGGGGGGGAGAACGGAGGAGGGGGGGGAGAACAGAGGAGGGGGGGGGAGAACGGAGGGGGGGGAGAACGGAGGGGGGGGGAGAACGGAGGGGGGGGGAGAACGGAGGGGGGGGGGGAGAACGGAGGGGGGGGGGAGAACGGAGGGGGGGGAAACGGAGGGGGGGGGAGAACAGAGGAGGGGGGGGGAGAACAGCGGAGGGGGGGGGGGGACAGAGGGTGGGGGGAGAACAGAGGTGGGGGGAGAATAAACAAACTCCACAGAGTGATGCAGGCGAGTCGGGAATCGAACCCGGGCACTTCTTGCCGAATGTTCCCAACTGCGCCAATGTGTCGCCCTTCTAGAAGGGGGGGGGGGGGGAGAGCTTCTCGTTGAGCTGGGTGGAGCCGTTTGTTGTGAGAAGCCGCAGTGACTCACCGAGTCGGAGGGGGAATTGGTTCCACGCGAGGCGGAGGCAGCAGCAGGATGCGCGAGGAGGAGGATCCTGTGTTGTGCTCTGCGCGAGCTCTCCTGGGAGTGGCGCTCAGGGCATCCGAGTTCGTTAACTTTCCACTCGGCCTGAAGCTCCCGTGACAATTTACGTTCAGGTTAAAGGCGCGGCACCTGCAATTGCTCGCTCGCGTCACTGCTGGCGGAAGGGCCTCCAACGAGAGGGAGCTCTGGAGAGCCCCATCTAGAGGGTGTTTTTGGCCTGCTCTTCCACACAGGTCAGACGACTTGGAAGTGGTGGGATGACGCACAATTCGCCTCGCTCTAGTCCACCACCACCAGCAGCAGCGACCAATGCCGATCGACTCATTGTGGTGGATCGATTTATACTGCTGAGTGGACAGAGGCGGTGGTGCGGGGTGATTCAATAAACTTGTCTCATTGTTTCAGCTGCCGCCCTGAGAGATCTGATCGAGCCGACTACCTCTGGGTGGCAATTCGAGTGTGCTCACCATTATACCTGGACAGCTGACAGATTTTTTTTTACGTGACCTTTTAATATCTGTACAAAAGCCTCACTGAGTCCCGAGACTATTTTTAAGGAAGGTCCCGCTACATTAGAATTACATTTTTACATTTAAATTATTTTCAAGCCCCACGGAGTAAGGTACAGTCTCCCGCTCCTATCCACTATCTCTCCAGCCTCTCCGCTCGTGTTCTATGAAGGCTATTGCCCGAAACGTCGCCTATAATATATGTTATTGATGGACGTGTTGAGTTCGTTATTTGTGCACCACTGCAAACGCAGCAGCATGAGATTTTTTTAATTTATTGGGACGTCTGGTCTATTCCATGGGTGAACTTATTGCAAGCACTGAATGTATGATTGTTAAAATTGCAGGATGATTTCTCACACGGTAGCAGTCTTCCTGCTGATCGCGGTGTCATGGGGCGGGGAGCAAGCAAGCGACACTGGACAGGCGACCCGAGTTCCATCCCAGGCCACCTCTAATATCAGTAGCGGATGCTATGTGAACAGGGTCCCAGCCTTCAGCAAGCAACCCGCATGAGGATTGAAGTTCCGTAGGGGTTACTTGACCATACTTCACCACGCTGGTCAGTGCGTGTTGGCGTGGAGCTTAGACGCGGGAGCATAGAAGTACAAACATGTTTTACTCCGCTGCCCTCTGCTGCCCACAACGTAGCCCTTGACAGCACGTGCGCGGCGGTCGTCCATTCCAAGCGCTGCTGTCCAGGCTGAACCCCGCTTAGCTTCCGAGATGTGATGATCTGCTCATGGGTCAAAATGAACTGAATGAATAGAAATGCTAATATTAACCTGTCCCTGCGAGGCAGCTGCCAGGCAGTGTTTGGGGAGATGCTGAATCCATATAATTAATATTTCATCGTCGTTAAATATTAAAGGCTCTCGAAATCAGTGCTGTTTGAAAGTTAATATCCACGCCTGCTGTAATCCATTATTAACCACGGCAACCAATTCCTGATTATTTTGAATTATGATTCATATTTAACCAAGCAGTGCGAAAGTGGGGTTGCTGCCGTTTGATCTCAAGTGTGTGGGAAGGCAAGACATAATAAGTCGAGGCATGCAGAGGTCCGGCAGGGCACGTGGCAGCTGCGTGCTGTAGATGTGAGTATTCTAAAAAAAAATTGCGCTGGATTGGACACGTGCACATGGTGGAGGGGAACAGAGTAAGCAATTATGCATGTTGTGGGTTTACTCTCCAACACACCGGTGTGCTGAACTCGTAACTAATTGTGACGTTTTGTTTACGTGACAAACCTTGCCAATTGGCTGGCTGTGTCCGGTGGTGGCGAGTTTGATGACACATTTATATTTACGCGATCTAACCCCCCCAAAAATAAAAACAACAACCCTCGATTATATGCTAAGCAACTTGGAGGTTGGGAAGAGAACGTCGCATGCGGGTGTTGTAGATCTGATTGGATAGAAACGGTTGCGCTGTGAGGGACACGTGGGTGCAGATTTGGGGTTGAGGGCCGGTGACCGAGACCCGACATTGGTGTTTTAACATCTGAACACAACTGTTTTGTTGCCAGAAAAAAGGGGGAAACCTCTTCTTATATTTTGACACTGGCAAAGGAGGTCCCATGATGTAGCTGCTCACCCAGAGCTCTCATTGTCTTTATGCTGTTCGCCTTTTGGCGTCCTCTGGTCTAACGCTGTTTGAGACTAGGCTCTAAAGAAAGCTGTCTCTGGTGTGGACCAATCAGTTTCAAAGGCAATACATAAATTGTCAGAGCTTGTTTTTTGTTTGCATGTTCACCACAGGTATCTGTGGTTAATACAGATATGATTCCTTGTCTTGTTGCCAGAAAAAAGGGGAAAATCGATTCTTATATTTTAAAACTGGCAAATGAGGTCCCATGATGATTGGAGCGGTTTCCACGAGTCCGGCGACCATGGGGAGGAGAAGACCTCGGGGCAGATGGTGGGAGACGGTCAGGGCAGGTCTTGGAGGTCGCCGCGAGCCTCTTGTGCAGCAGCCATTGCCGGATTATCCCAGTAGCACAAGTAGCTACATGTGTAGTAGCTACGGGCCCCGCACTCTCAAGGCCCCCGCGCTAGATACTTTCAAGCTATGCATTCCGGTGCAGTGATTTTGCACTTGCTTTATTACTATAGTACTATACCGCCTTCAACTTTTATGAATGACTGGGTGATTAAGGTTAGCGATTTGTCGTATTATCTGGCTGTATAGCAAATGAAACAATACAATAACTTTACTATGCAAGTAAAAAATTGTGTTTTAATATTTACGTGTTTTTTTTATTTAGGGCCCCTTTATAACATATGCTACAGGCCCCGCACGAGGTTCATCCGGCACTGGCAGCAGCTGCGGCAATGTGTCGAGAGTAGAAGCGCTGACAAGTCTGGGGTGGTGGCATCAACGGATTTAGCCTTGACGGCGCGTGCATCTTGACGATGTTTAATTGTGCTCATTGTCAACCTGGGTGGCCCGCTCTCACCAGACAGAGCCTTGGACTCGCAGTGGGGACATGTCCGGCTTCAAATCCCGGTCTGGGTCACACTCAGTTAAACATCCCAACATGGGGTCATTAAAATGAGTTGACCTTTAAACAAACAAAACGAATACAAAAATGTAAACTCAAACTCATCCTTTGCGATCCGTTGGATTTTCACGATTCTGGGTCACTATTTCAAAACATGAATCGATCACTTACACCAACATCAACAACAAAAAACATTCGAATGTATAACGCCTCTTCTGGCTGCAGGAATCGGGCGAAACAATTGCATGCGACATGCGAATCAACGATCGTCACAGACAATCGCTTCAATGTGGTCTTAACTTCAGCACCATGGACAGTGCTCCACGCGGTCCACACGGGGTCACACGCCGAACACATTCAGGCGCTATAAACCCGGCTGGACATCTGAGTTAGATTCCCGACCACGGCTAACATCAGTGGTGAGTGATATCTGAACCGCCCCTGGCGCACCCCAACAACAACAACCGCAATTGACCACTAAGTGACGTCACCACGGCGCTTGTGCCAGGCTATGTGCACTTTGAGATCACATGCAGTGGCTTGCTGGCAGGACGTCATTGGAAAGAACCAGGTGCCATGGGTTGACTGCGGTGCCAGGCTAGGTGTAGGAGGGAGGTCACGGGACAGACCCAGGTGCCAAAGCTTGACTGACTAAAATGACCGACAGATGCACCGCCTGTGCTCCCTACTCTGCCAACTTGCTACGTTTTATCCGCCCGGCACCCTGCCCGTTGTTGTGAGCGTCGCTCCTCTGCCCTCCGCTGTTGTTGGAGGGCGACTGCCTCCAACTGCCCTGTAGCGTCATTCACCCTCTACGTGATCCATACTGTCGCGTTGGTGAAGTATGTTCAAAGGACTCCCACTGCCGTAGACACTTGTGTGAGGAGTATGCCTTCATCCAGCAGTGGATTGGCAATTCACTCGGTAAGCGGCCGATGTCGTCATGCCACCAAAGCGACGCAGAGGTTGAGCCTGGATGAGCGATTATTGTGCACATCAGATTGCGATCGGTTGTGTGGCTACCTGGTGGGCAGCAGCGAGCAGTGGAGAGAAACACATTTATTGTTGCATTGCACTTCTATGTTCCTGGGCTTCGCTTACCCGCACTTTTCAGCTTGGTGAAGTATGGTCAAATATCCCGGCACAACCCGTGCGGCGTGGAGAGTCCCTCATCCAGCAGTGGACTGGCAACAGGGCTGCACATACAATAGGGCTGCACATCTAATAGGGCTGCACATCTAATAGGACTGCACATCTAATAGGGCTGCACATCTAATAGGGCTGCACATCTAATAGGGCTGCACATCTAATAGGGCTGTACATGCAATAGGGCTGCACATCTAATAGGGCTGCACATCTAATAGGGCTGCACTTCTAATAGGGCTGCACATCTAATAGGACTGCACATCTAATAGGGCTGCACATCTAATAGGGCTGTACATACAACAGGGCTGCACATACAATAGGACTGCACATCCTACAGGGCTGCACATCTAATAGGGCTGCACATCTAATAGGGCTGCACATCTAATAGGGCTGTACATACAACAGGGCTGCACATACAATAGGACTGCACATCTAATAGGACTGCACATCTAATAGGGCTGCACATACAACAGGGCTGCACATACAATAGGACTGTACATCCTGCGGGGCTGCACATAATAGGGCTGCACATCCTACAGGGCTGTAATCCAATAGGGCTGCCCATCAACGCAGTGTACAGAGTTAAACCCAACACCAACTGACAAATAAGAGCCCCCGGGAAAGCACAGAACAGTCGCCTTAAACGCGAAGCCACACAAGACAGTTTACAGCAACGATTTGACTGAACTAATTAATTAAAAATCAAATTAAAACTACGTCTCAACTTATAACCCAGACCTGTGATTTATTGTGTATTGATTGTTATTAAAATCGTGAGAGACGGTGACGGCGTAGTTAGACAGTGGCTGGTAATTATTACAAAACAAGTGTGTTAATGTCACGTGTAAGTACACCTCTTCGCTTCTAAGACGTCTTGGACCGTGTGCATGAATCGGCCAAAGTGCCCTCTGTGCTGGACCGCTCTTCGTAGCTCCCTCCCGGGCAGTCACGCGCTGGATCATGGTACCTGCTACTAATTCACCTGCGCAAATAGAAAACGGTTCCGATTGCGATGGTTGTTGTCGGTAACACGAGCGAATGAACGCCGCCGCGCGCCTTCGCCCTTTGCTTACGAAACACGTGCGCCAATGAAGCCAGCAATCCAGACCGGATTTTCCAGCCACCCCAGTTGTGCGCCAGCGCGCGTGTGCGTGTGTGTGGTTTCCTTTTGGCCGAGCAGCGTGGCTCATCCTGTTTGTGTTCATCACATGCCCGCCCGCCCGCCCGTGCGTGGTGTCGCCTTTTGTTTCCGCGGAGTGTTACTGGAAAACTCCCGATCGCCCCGGCTAGAATCGGCCGCCGACACAGCGACCGCGATGAGACGTCGCGACGGCCGCAGTGATCGCCGCGGCTCGTTCGCGACACGACGCGACATCGTCGTCATCGGCAGCAGCAGCAGCATGAGCAGCGTGCGTGCCCGACCGATGCGCGCAGGTGGTGGCGGCGGCGCGGCGGTGATGAGGATGACGAGGGCGATGACACCGACTGCAGCAGTAGCCACATTTGGTCGCCCGCGCAGTCCAATTCCAGCAGCCTCCTGACGCTGCATGGAGACCGGAGTGGTGGTGGTGCAGCAGCAGCAGCAGTGGAATCATCAGCCCAGCAGAAGCGACCCCGAGACATGTCCGGGCAGATCGCGAGTGGAGGAGTACGGAGATTCGGCTCTGCGAGAGACCCCGTGTCACGACCACAGCCCACAGGTCGGTGAATCATGCAGCGTGGTTCACTCATTCTGTATTTGAACAGGTTTCAGCATTCGACTTTATATCCTATTCCTCTCACATTGATTGACTCGCCACCCCATCATCCTCGACGCAGCCGCTAAAGCGAGCACCACCTTGCGGGGAAATCAACAACGGTTGGCCTATGGATGGACTCGCCTCCCGCCATGCGAATGTGGAATTTCCATCACTGGCTCTGCAGGGCTGTAGACGCGAGAGGAACACTGATACCTCGAATGGCTCATTTGAGAAATAACTCTCATTGACCCACTGGCCTACAATGGACTTGATAAAGAATGTAACGCTCTCCCCGTGTAAGATATGGGAGCCATATATTTCACAATATTCAAGCCAGCTGTTGAGAAGTGGGTCATTAGAAATCGAAGGGACATCTATAAGTCGATCACGTTGTGTTGAATTATTTTGGGTAACCGGTGGATGGATTTTACCGAATTCTATTGGTGGAGGAGGATGATGAGGGAGGGGTGAGTGGGGGGGGGGGGGTGTGATGAAGGGGAGGGGGGTGGGGGGAAAATGGGGGTTAGATTTAAGTGAACTCCTATGGTGCAGTATATTTATGTTTTAGAATCTTGGAGTGATGCTAAAATCTTATTTATGTCCCACTTGTGTTGCTATTGGCCTAATGGTGTCATGAGATGAAGCAGTTCACATTCACAGTTCTAGCGGTAAGCAGTGTGTCACCGTGTACCGGAGAACCGCTCCGCTAGACCATATCACGGAAGCGTGTCTGAGATCGTTTGCGTCTAACCCCCCACCACAGGTGTTGGTTTATCATTCTCACACGCCCTGCTAAGTCAAACCGAATTGTATTATCCTCCGAGTAAGAATGGAGCAAATTTAAACGGAAAACGAAATGCATCACGATGCCTTGTGTGTCGTAGACATTAGAGATGGGACTGGTACCAGGTTCATTTACGGGTGGCTGTGACCCGGATTTGAACCCCAGGATATCGGCGTTTCCCAGCCGGCTGGGTACTCCAAAATGGCCATTGTGAGACCTCCCCCGAGGTACTGGAGAACCCCCCCTGTGAGACACGATGAGACGCACATTCCCCTCCACCCCCCCCCGCTGCCGTCTCCTGCTCGAGCTGTAGAATTGATGCCCAATTAAGTGGCGCAGTCCCCGTCCCGTGGGTGCAGTGGACGCCAAATAGAGGAGGAGGAGGAGGACAGTTAGCAGGGGCAGCAGGAGCTGGGCGTGGTCCACGCCCGTGTCAATGTCTCACCATGCCCCTGTGTGTTGTCCTTGTGTCTCAATGTCTACGTGTCCTTGTGTCTTAGTGTCCACGTGTCCTTGTGTCTCCATGTGTCTCAATGTCCACGTGTCCTTGTGTCTCCATGTGTCTCAATGTCCACGTGTCCTTGTCTCCGTGTGTCTCAATGTCCACGTGTCCTTCTGTCTCCGTGTGTCTCAATGTCCACGTGTCCTTCTGTCTCCGTGTGTCTCAATGTCCACGTGTCCTTGCGTCGCTATGTATCTCAATGTCCACGTGTCCTTGCGTCGCTATGTATCTCAATGTCCACGTGTCCTTGCGTCTCTATGTATCTCAATGTCCATGTGTCCTTGCGTCGCTATGTATCTCAATGTCCATGTGTCCTTGTGTCTCCGTGTGTCTCAATGTCGCGTCTCTATGTATCTCAATGTCCACGTGTCCTTGTGTCTCCGTGTCACTCTACCCAATCCTATTCCCCTGTATCCCCCCTACCCCCGTGTGTTCCTGTGTCTCCATATTTCGTTTGTTCCATCCATTTGTGCCCTCGCTTTGCTTCTTCCCACGACTGTGTCCATGTCTCCGCGTCTCAGGCTGCGAGGCGGACATCAGCTCGTCGGGCAGCACCAACAGCACGTCGTGCATGTCCCTGTCGGAGCACGGGGCTCGAGGGGGTCGCATCCCAGGGGCCCAGTCACTGAGAACCCCGTCCCCTTGTCAGGGTCTCGCGGAGACCCCTGCGCTAACCCGGCCCAGCCCTGGCCGTGTTCCCCCTCCTCTTCCTTCTCCTCCTGGCCTCATCGCGAGTCCAGTCGCCGGCTCCGCGAGCGCCCGGCCCAGCGCGCTGCCTCTGCTCCTCCCCGTGCACTGCGCGGCGCCTCGCAGCCTCGCGCTCGGCCCACGGTGAGGACGGGGAGAGGGACTCTGGGGCGAGAGGCACCCCGGGGGGAGAGGGACCCGAGGTGTGGGGGGTGGAGGATGGTGTCGTGGTCCAGGTTGAGTTTGGGTGCCTAACATGTGCTCCATGAGAAACGAAGTCCTTGATAATCAACATTTATGGTATCTTCTTCTTTCGTATGACCGATGCAGATCAACGACTACAATTTCACATTCAGGTGGCCAAGCCAGATAATCGAGTCAGGAGCAGCGGCGTGTGCCGCTGTGATGTCTCCTTGTAGTTTGTGCACTGAGACGGCCAGAGAGCGAGAGAGTCAGACGGATGGGAAGATGCAGACTCCTCTGTTTAGAGGTCTCTGACCCGAAGATCAGGACCCAGTAACCGGCAAATGTTCGGGATCCACCCTCGACTCCGAGTCCGTTTTGCAACGGACTGAAAGCAGTGTTGTAATGGTCACACGCAGAGCTCGTTGGGCGTGATAAGTGCAGCGCGTTCATGATGGATTGAATTCATTCCTAAGAGTGCCTGATAACACATTTTCAGACTTGCTAAAAGAGGCAGATTGTAGCTGAATGGAAACAAATTAACACGAGAGGCATAAAGAGCGAGACAGGGAGATGGCAAGAGATGTAGACACTGAAAACGACACGATCACGAATGCATGCAGACAGCAAACCCCACCCTCACCGTGCCACCCATACTCCCCGTGCCCCCCACACTCGCCGTGCCCCCCACACTTACCGTGCCCCCCACACTCACCGTGCCCCCCATCCCCCGGTCCCCCCGCAGTTCTCCAGCCAAGCCCCTGCCCAGCCCCACGACGGGCTCCCCCCGGGACGGTCCCATACCCCTGCTGACCCTGCTGACGGAGACAACGGAGGGGTCTGCGGACCCCGAAACGGGGGGCCTGGTTTCACCCCCTGGGCCCCCTACAAGGGGCTCTGGTCTCTTGGCGCTGTCTCCGGCGAGCAGCAGCAGCAGCAGCAGCTCCAGCCTGAACCGCGTGGGCGACGCGTCCAGCCCGCCAGCCAGGTGCGTGGGTTACGGGTGGGGAACTCAACCAATCATCATGATGGAGTCGGTAAAATAGGTACCGTTTTGTGGGTGGCGTACCTCCCATGCGTAACCGTCCGTGCGTAACCCCCCTTGCGTAACCCCCCTTGCGTAACCCTCCGTGCGTAACCCTCCGTGCGTAACCCCCTGCTGTGCACGTGCAGAAGGTGGCGGTACCCCTCGTCCTCCGAGGGCCACGGGGCCCGCTCCACCATCCCGGAGCAGCACCTCACCCCGCTACAGCAGCAGCGTGACGTCACCATCCGCCACCTGCGGGCCCGGCTCCGCGACAGCGAGGGCCTCCTGGGGCACAGGTGTGGGGTACATCTGGGGCATGGGAAATTCAACTGATTAAGAAATGCTCTGTAGTATGATGAGAAAGTCGTGAGTTGCGGGACATGGGGGCGTGCATTATTACGGATCGATGCTTTGCTTCACGTGGGAGGAAACGGGAATTCCCAGATAAATCCCTGCACACATTACACCGGGGGGATGGTAACACCCGGCGTTCTGGGTGGTGCTGCTTCTAGATGTTCCCGCTTCTACTGTTGGTTGTGCTGCTGCTGCTGCTGCCGTTGCTGCTGCCGTTGCTGCTGCTGCTTGCACTGTTTTTCTGCCGCTACTGTGCCTGCTGTTTATTCTTTTGCGGGTGCTTCTGCCGCTGCTCGAACCATCATCTCCTCCTCCCCCATCACCACCCACCCGCCCGCCTGCCACAGGGAGCGGGAGGTGCAGGAGCTGAAGTCCCAGCTGGAGCGCATGCGCGAGGACTGGGTGGAGGAGGAGTGCCACCGCGTGGAGGCGCAGCTGGCGCTCAAGGAGGCGCGCCGTGAGATCCGGCAGCTGCGGGAGGCGGTGGACGTCATGGAGGTGAGCCTGCACGAGAAGGACCAGGGCCTCCAGAAGTACTTTGCCGACATCGGCCTCCAGAACCGCAAGCTGGAGGCGCTGCTGCACAGCATGGAGGTGGCGCAGGGCGGTGCCCGCCAGGACGGGGCCGACGGTGGCGATGGCGATGCGGCACACAGCCCGGTCTCGCGCGGCGACGACCTGGGCTTCGCCGACGAATCGCTCACCGCCGAGACGACCGAGTCGCTCGGCCGGGCGGGAGTGGCGGGAGTGGGAGGAGACGGAGGAGACGGCGGAGACGGAGGAGGAATACGGGGGGCGGCGGCGGCGGAGAACGAGGTTCCGCGGACCGCCGTGGCCGCAGCCGCCGGTGTCTTGCGGCGGGGAGTGGCGCGCGGCTCTCGCGGGCTGGAGGTGTCGCTGCTGGAGGAGAAGATCGGCCGGAGCGATCAGCAGCAGGAGGAGGAGGAGAACGTGGGGTTGGGCGTCCTCTCCATCCGGAGCCATTGCCGCCCGTACAGGAAGTCGCCCACGTCGGCCGAGCTCGGCGTCCAGGCCGACATCGTCATCTGCGACACGGGACCTCCCAGCTCCTCCTCCTCCTCGTCTTCCGCCGCCACCACCGCCGGCGTCTCCTCTACGAGCGACGGCAAACTCGTCGACCTCTCGCAGTCCGACCCGACCACCATCCTCCTGGTGTCGCCGTCGTCGGGCGCGGTCCGGCGCCGCTGCCGCTGCGTGCCGCCCCGGAGACGTCTCCTGCTCGGCACCGACGCGGCCGCCGCCGGCGTCGGCGGTGTCGGCGTCGGCGTCGTCGTCACGCCGAACAACGACGACGTCGTCGGCGTTCATTTCTGGAGCCGCTACGCCGTGCTGGACTGGGCGGCCGTGGCGGTGCCGCTCGTGCCCACGGTGGCCTGGCTCGTGAGCCGGCACCGCGCCGGCGAGCTGGCCCGCCAGGAGCCGCTCTACAACATCGCGACGGTGCTCCGCGGCTGCTGCCTGCTGGCGCTCTCCCGGCTGAGGGTGGCACCGCAACAGCTCTAGGCTGCCGGAGTCGGCGGTGTGGCCGCTTGTGAAGGAGGTTCATGGTGCGAGCCCACCCCCCCTCTCCCCCCCCCCCCCCCCCGCTGGCTACCACTTGCCCACGCCGGTCGCCCCGGTTAATACTGCGGTGTTAATACCGCGGTGTTAATACCGCGGTGTTAATACCGCGGTGTTAATACCTGCGGTGTTAATACCGCGGTGTTAATACCGCGGTGTTAATACCGCGGTGTTAATACTGCGGTGTTAATACTGCGGTGTTAATACCGCGGTGTTAATACCGCGGTGTTAATACCGCGGTGTTAATACCGCGGTGTTAATACTGCGGTGTTAATACCGCGGTGTTAATACTGCGGTGTTAATACCGCGGTGTTAATACCGCGGTGTTAATACCGCGGTGTTAATACTGCGGTGTTAATACCGCGGTGTTAATACTGCAGTATTTGTGGTATTAACCACGAAATACCACGACGCGCCGTCGGCTTTGCAGCGGAAGTTAAAGATCCCGTGACGTCACGGTCCACATTTGCCAACTTTTTAAAAGACAAAAACGAACAAATTACTCGATTGGAATCGCCAATGTAACAAACTTAGCCCCCTACTGGCAGACGGGGCCCACGTGCAGGCCGGAGCTGCCTTCACCTCCTGCCGCACAGGGACAGCTCTCGGCAGGGGGGGGGGGTCCCCTCGGTTAATGTCTGACGATTCGCTCCACGTCCTGGGAGCTTCTTCGGAACTGGGAGCGAAACGTCGGACACCGACAGCTTTCCGTGGTCGAACCCAAAAGAAAATACTTTAACCCCTCCCCTCACCCTCCTCCTATAGCCCTGCCCCGCACCGTCGCCATCGCCACAACTGACTATCCGTAGAGACAGAGGGGACGTTTCTCTCGTGGCGTTCCCGGGCATCTCCAGAATCGCAGAATGGTGACGAAGTGGAGCGGCGGTGGTGGTGGCACAGCGGTGAGCGCACTGCACTGTGAACCTGGCCTCCTTCCCCACTTTGTCACCTGGCCATGACTAAACTCGTCAAACTAATTAACGTAAATCGTGTCTGTCACATGGCGGTCAAGGGCCCCCTCGGCTACAACGCTTCTATTTAAGATGTCCCAGATTTAGGTGAACTTGGTAACGTGGCGTGATTCCAGTCGCCCACCCCCTTGAAAGCAGTTTCATAGCTCTGCTCCCAACGAGGTGTATCTTGGTGGCGGCCCCGAGGGTGGTGGCCTGCGAGATCCCTCCGTGTCCCCCGGTGTGCGACCGTCTTTGTCTTTGTTGTGGGCTGCAGCCTGAAGTTTGCGGCCTGAAAATGTACGACCGCCCTTGTAATAAGTAGCAGGCATAGTGCGTTTGTCTTGTGGGCTTGACGAACAAAAAAAGTGTTCGAGGGTGTATGAAATAATCCGTGTCTATTAAAATTGTAAGCCCCCCCCCCCTGTTAATTCACTGCTGGATATAACGGCCTTATCATGTCGGTCACGGGGCTTGGGAGTGAAGTCTGCTTGTTTGCGCTGTTGACTTGAGGTCCGCATTACCGATATCCCCAAGCGCACATCCTCTCCCTCCTCTTCACCATCTCAGCCTCCTCATGTCTCCTATCGAGTGTTCATCTATACCAGGGCTAGAGCACGGTGTCCCGAATGAGGGTCCACACACGTGAGATGACACAGAACTTTGGCCGTGTTCTCAGCTACTTGGAAGACGACAGGAGGTGATCCAAGTGCGCGAAAACATTAAGAAACACGGCTGTTTGCCGGGTCAAGATTACCCCCCTCCAGTACCCGATGAGTGCGACCAAGACGCCTGCGATAATCGATGCGTATCGTTTACGTTGGTCAGCTGCCCTGGATTTTTCTCGCCGGCAGTTGATGTCGCGGGAAATCTGTAACTCTTGCTAAGACGTAAAAAGTCCAGGTGTTTGGCAATTGCGCAATGATGGGAATCGCACAGCACGGGAGACAAATGAGTTCACGTGCGAGTTCTCCCCTCTTCTGGTATCGATAGCTCTTCCCCCTCTTCCTGTGATGTGTCGCGGTTATGTTTGCACCTCGGAGGAGGAGGCAACCTCGTTGTGCCGTACAAGATGAAGTCGTGGGTCGTATCTGGCCTACGGGGCCATGTGTTCCCCACCCATGATTTATACCTTGGCCAGCCCATCCTCTCCTCTCCCCCTCTGCCTTGCAAACTCCCGTACCACCATCCAAAATAATTCGTAAAAGAACAAAAATCCATCTTCTCTTCCAAGCCTCATCAGTGTGCATGCCTACCCCACCCCCTCTATTCGTACGGCTGTCTTGAGATGCGGTCGTGTCAAGACGCTGTGTAAATTGTAACCTGTAAGTGTGAGACCTCGTCTGTGTCAGTGTGAATATTTACGGTTGCTTGCTAACAAAATTTGATGAGCCGAATGTGTCGTGTGGATGGCGCGAGACCATTATGAAACCCGAGTCTCTGTGCATGTGGAGGGTGATCGAAACTGTGCGGAAGGAGGGGGTATCAGCAACGTGGTGGTTCAGAATGGATGTAATCATTGAAGAGAAGGTTGAGGATTGGTTGGACACGTGTGTGCAGGATGGGGAATGGCCGGTTACAGAGACGGACGTTCGATTGGCACCTGGAGGTCTGTGCCCAATGGAAGAGGACATGGCCCAGTGGTGGTGGTCGTGGTGATGATGATGAGACTGTTAAGAGTGGCCCTTGAATGATGCGTCAACTGCGCAACAAAGGGGGAAGACCTAAAGCCCAGACGGAGGCAACGACGGTTAGGGTGGCCCTTGTAAGGACGTGTCGACTCGAGGAGAGGAGACTGCAACGAGGAGGACACCGAAACTCGGCTGCAGAAGATGACCTCGACGAGAGTAGACTGTAAGAGTGGACCTTGAAGGCCCAGGTGTCTGCCGTGCAATAGCCGTGGGGACTGGCACAATGAAGGAAGCGATGGCGGGAGGTGTGGTGGCACAAGACGGTATTGCTTGCTACGACTTCTCGGTCTTGATTTAAACTGCATGCCTGAACTCGCCAGGACTGCAACTGCGATGTAAGACGATGCACTAAGGTATTTGATACATTTACTGCATGGTTAGTGGTGGGAGGGGGGCGCTCTACCTAATCAATTGGGAAGGCGGGGGGGGGTAGGGGGGAGGTTCGGGGACCTTAATAACCACATGGGCCCTCTGCTCATGCCCGGTTTTGTCTTTCTCCCAATTATACAATTATATTCCGATTGTAGACAGCTGTGTCCGCTGTATCATGATCGCTGTATCATGATCGCTGTATCATGAAGCATTGCGTCAACCGGTGTTGGAGAACGGCCTTGGAAGAGGACATCGCAGAACTACTTTCGAGGTCCCTTCAAATTGCCTGTTCTGTTCTGTTCTTGCGTGTGATGGCAATACATTCTCGAGCTAGATGCCAATGTCGAGGTCGGTCTGATAGCCACGGCGAGAGGGCTTCAGGGGGAGAGTTCGTGTCGTTTTGCTGTTCCTCCTGCGTTAAAGAAGAACACATTGAAGTGGCTTGCTGTGGTCCATGGTGCAACAGTCGTTTGCTGTGGTGCCCCATAGTACTATTATGGGCCAGAGTACAACAATGCTTTACTCTGTGGTCCATAGTAAACCACTGTCGTCTGTGCTTCTCCAAAGGAGTAATTTCCCGTTATCCACACGAGGTGGTGGTTCACCCTCTCGCAAGCCGGGCTGTCGAGGCGTTCCTTGCTGGTAGTCAAGACTAATATTTTATATTCATTCATCCAAGCTGGAATTTTGCCAAATGTAAGTGACAAATCTAATTTAATTTGTGTGTGTGTGTGCTTGGTCAATGGGTGAGCAGGTTGAGACCATTAAGAAATGAAACCAGCTAAAAACCACAAACTCGATATGCGAGTCTACGGGTCTCTGTGAGTCTTTGAGTCACGGGCGGTTGAAATCTGGATTTGAAGCCAGCTTCTCAGCAGGGCCGGCCCAATGTCTCTGACAGGGCCATTCTGAACCCGCCCCGAGCCACTGGGCCACCTCTGATCGTGACCCGTGGACGACCTCAGTCACGGAGGGTCACCCAGGCTGTGACATCCTCGTTCACATCGCCGCCCTTACCTGGAATACAACCGGAACGCCCTTGGTGTTGGGAATCTTTGTTAATTATCATGAATGCGTTCAAGTTACATTCGTGTCACGGAATGTGTTTACAAAAAGGCATAGCCTTTAAAAAAAGAAAGATATTTGGTGTATTTTTTATATTTATTTAATTTATCTCAGTTGTGACCAGAATTTGTCGTCTGGGTCTTAATTTGTGACCCCGTGGGGTCAAGTGAAGTGGAATGGAGCTGGGTCTCCCGAGACCGTCATTAGCCATCAACCATAATCATATCATCCACCACCATCTCAAATAAATGGAAAAAATCAGCATCATCACATAATTACCAACTATCATCACATTTCAAGCTTCACCTGTCCACCAATCATAAATACCAATCACAACTAACAATCACTGCTAATTAAATACCAATCACCACAAATCATTATTAAATATCATTATCATTACCAAATACGGTAGAAGCATCATCAGTGGCATAATCACAAATTACCAAATGTCAGCATAATCATCAACATTGGCATCACCAACTATCATCGGCATAGAATCACCCACTTCAGTCTGATGAACACATCACCACATGTCATCATCACCAGCACCACCATCATCTTTGTGGGTCAATAAAACAAGTAGACCCCACCGCTTTGCGGAAAGTTGACCAACTTTGCGGTTGTACTGTGGATATACTGACCCCCGTCCATGGGAACGTGGAATTGCCACCACGGGCTCAGAGCCAGCCGCCTCGTTTGACGGTATAGGGGCTGGCTATAATTGTTCAAGCTGTGTCGTGCCGTGGCATTTTGTCTGTGTTCAGTGGCATCTGGTCTTGACTGTGTGGGCCCTTGCGATATAACCCTGAGCTCATGATGCCTGCCAGTCGGTCTTTTATTTGCTCGCGCCTCGCTGATTTACTTTGTAACGATAGCAACAAAAACGGACGATACAATACGCAGCACATCGTGGCATACCCGACTAGTACCCG